AGACCGACGGGCTTCAATGAGTTGTGAGGAACCAGAAGAAACCTAGTGCTCATAAGCGGGACGTTTCGCGAAGCCGCAAGCGGCTTTACTCGCCATTTTGATGGCGTCATGAAGTTGCAACCAATGCTTATCTATACTTTTCGGTGGAATGGTAGCTAACCTAAAAGCTAGCTCGGTTAGATACTTACTAGCAACAGAAGTTGCAACCAAGTTGCTGACATCAATCATTTGGTGGCAGTCACTTCGTTGGCCACTGAAAAGTAAGGTAAGACTGACACAGACAAGGGTACGATCAGAGTCCAGATAGGTACTCCAAAAGGAGCGGCAGTCTTGTACACAACCACGCTGGCGGTAGCTGATCGCGATGTGATCAATATGAGTCCAGGCTTGAGATGCAGAGGGAGGACGCCAGGTGGCACATCGGTGATGACTGTGCCGAAAGTTAGTGCTATCCAGAAACAGGTTGTGCTCTGTGCACAGTTGCAGTAGACGGTCCCCGTTATCTGTCCTGCGACCAAGAAGTCCCCATCGGCCACCTAAATGATTCTCTTCTGTGCTTAGACACCCGACCTGAGCATTCAAGTCTCCGGCTAGTACTACAATATCTGTCGAACGCACTTTTTGGAGAACAGTTAACTGGTGATAGGATTCATCCCTGATTGCATCCGGGCTGCAATCTGTCGGGGCACAGGCGGAGGTGACGAAAAGACATCGTTTCTCACGTCGATTTCTTCTCACTTTGGTGGAACTTTCTAATCTAACAGCACATAACCGACTGTTAATGGAGATCCAATCGATTAGTGGTGCCTCAGCTTTAGCGCTTAGTGCGACACCAACGCCAGCAAGACTAGACGAAGATGCCACAGGGTCCCCGGATAACCGCACGTAAAACAAGCTTTTTGAAGCGACAGATGGAGAGCGAATTTGTAGTACTTCACCAGAGTCTTGAATACGGGTCTCGGATGGACAACAAACATCAATATTAAGACTTTCCAAAGACGTAGGCAGCCCTATCTGTTGTCCGACCTGCATAAGTGTGCGAACGTTGGAGGCAGCCAGTTTGAATGGTGCACGTGGTTTCAGAAAAACTGCTTCAGTATTCGTACTTGGTGGTAGCATACAACTTTCAACCAGGCAGTGACTCGAGAACGTTTAGATAGAACCGAGTTTCCACCATAGGCGAGCTGCCGTATAAGTCGAAAAATAAGGATACATAAAGTGGGAATAAAAGTGAGTGAATAAATGACACAGTAAGCAATAATAATAGTAATAATAAGTGTGAATTGTTTGACTGTAGATCAAAGCGAGAATAGAATTTTCAGTAAATATCATTATTTTCATCTTCAATTTATTTGTGTGTGGGCTGTGATACTACCCGGGTGCCCAAACCGAAGCAGGTAGTTTGCTTAGGGGGCCACACCCGGAGCTTTTGACCTAAAGGTCTTACTCACAAGGCAATGGAGCATCGTGAGGAGATGCATTCCCATGGTAGCCGGTGACCAACGATTGGTTCATACTCTGTTTGTTCCCTCAGGATACTGGAGCCCATGTGCACCATTGGTTTGGGATCCGGTTAAAGCGCCAGACATTCGCTTTCCGTCCTCTCATTTTCGTACACAACACCCCGCCACGAGAAAGCAGTGAGTAGGATTGCCCTGGTAGAGGCTGTATACGCGTGGCCATATGAGAGTATTTCGAGATGGAGAACGGACTCTCCCCACTCTCGGCCATACCAGGGCATTTGGGGATCTTAAGATTCTACGACACAACACAGCATGCACCAATCGAATCACAGTTGACAGAGAAGCTTTGGAACATGTAGAAACCTTTACATATTTGGGTAGCGTCATTGATGAAAATGGTAGATCTGATGCAGATGTAAAGGCGCGGATCGGCAAAGGAAGAGCAGCATATTTATCTGGAACTAAAAACAACTGTCAACCAACATCAAAATCAGAATTTTCAAAACAAATTTCAAGACAGTTCTACTGTATGGGGCGGAAACTTGGAGGACTATGAAAGCAAACATCCAGAAGATACAAGTTTTTATTAACTGCTGTTTATGCAGAATACTTTGGATCCGTTGGCCAGACACTATCAGCAACAATCTGCTGTGTGAGAGAACAAACCAGATCCCAGCGGGAAGAATTGTAGAAGTGGATGGGACACATATTGAGGAAAGCACCCAACTGCGTTACAAGACAAGCCCTCACATGGAATCCTCAAGGCCAAAGGAAGAGGAGAGGAAGACCAAAGAACACAGTATGCCGAGAAATGGAAACAGACATGAGAAAAATGAACAAGAATTGAATGGAACTAGAAAGGAAGGCCCAGGACAGAGTGGGTTGGAGGATGCTGGTCGCCGACCTATGCTCCACTGGCAATGACAGGCGTAAGTAAGTAATAATCTTAAAGAGGGTAAGTAAAATGATAAATAGCCACTAATTTCGTGTTCTGACACTAATTTTGATATGCCTACAATCTGGTATGATCCCATACTTATCTGCTGAATTCTTACTGGAACATTTATTCAGACGGTGTATATGCTTGTGTTATGGTTTACTATTATTCATGAACAGTAAACGGATTCTAGTTTTTTTGAAATAGTGAATTGCTGTCTGACAAATGAACAAAGCGGTAATTCAGTGACCCGGTATCTAACTCAAATTAGACCTTATGATGATTGACATTGAAATATACATCCCAGCTAACCTCGTATACCTTTATCGACTTAATCTGCGTAAGTGAATAACGAAGTTAGATAAGCCAGATACGAGAATGGATTTTGAATACGTATATTTCATGCACTCATTGTTTTAAACAGACAATCAGTGAGACAAAATGAAAGAAGCAAAGAGGAGAGAGCGAAGTGAGACGAAAGGATGCGCGGTGAAGAAGGCAAGTGGGTCAACTCGATTTCACCAAACGCGACTCGATATTTATATTCAAATAAAAATAAATTATAGACATGTGATGGGTAGAGGAAATCAGCATTAATAAACAATTAATTGATAAGGTCAAAATGTTGCAAGTAGAATGAATAGATTGGCTTGTCCGGAAACTAGATCAACCCATGTGGGCTTGACATAGCACCAGCCAGTACAGTACAATGGGGTCGAGTGATATCTATTAGCGAGGCAAGATTAACTCAAACTACCACATGAACTGGTGCCAAACATAGGAAAATATAATCGCTGAAGAAAAGTAGTTCAGGTAAAGCTAAGAACAAGACTTTGCATAAAAAGCACAGCTGGCAACAAGATAGGAACTCAACGGAAACAGTATAATATTAAAATAAACAGCGATATGAGTCAGCCGAAATGTTCCTTTAAACGTCTTAGCTGCCTGTTGAGATCAAGAAGAGTCCAACCGGATGTGACAGAATCAGTAAACTCCGCCTGCTTGAAATCAATGCTAGATTAAGTTTCCGTAAATGTACAATGCTAAGAGACACCTATCGATATGGGATTTTTAAGATATCCTTAAAGAACAGCTTGTATGACGTCTATACACTTGAGTCCTACGGATTTTAATAAAATTTAAAAATAATGTTCATTATGTGCTTGAACAAGGAATATAAGCAGAAATCAAACTTTTGGGATTTCTTAAGTCCTAAGAGAAAGTCCAGCTGAACAATAGATTGTACGCTGCGATGGTTAAGCGAACTTTAGGACTTTCGCCTAGTCTACTCCCAACATTTCATAGTACTCTAGAAGTAGATAGTGATACCCACGGATTTTTCTCATCAATACCAACTGGACAGTGTCAAGACACATTGGAACATTGTATGCATCTCAAAAACTGAATCCATTGCTTGAGATTCAAGTTTTAATTGAAGATGCTTGGAATCAGATACGGTATAACATCCGAGAAGTGAAAACCTGTGTGTAAGTCATAGTGTTGTTTCAGGAGTAGTAATTCGTGGGCGATCCGTCCTCTGTAACAGCCATTAAATGAAAACTTATCGAAACCGTAGGGTATATTGAAAGAACACAAAGAAAGATTGGTAATGAAAAGAATCCTTTTTGTGATGATGAAAATGTGCAGATAAATACCAATGACTGACTACCAGGATACCGACTTAGCAGACATTGTGAAGTGTCCGTATAACAAAACAGGTGAATATTAAGCAACTCAAGAGTCCAAGAGACTTTCTTCAAGATTAGTGATATGAAGTTTTTTGATGGAAGTGATAAATGAGAAGTTCCGTCAACGTGATGGGTCCTACAACGAGCAAAAATGGATGCTTCATCTCGCAAAATGAATCAACAATACAGCCGCATTGTACATTTGAGCTAACTATTACGGAGTCATGACATTAGCAAGACAGTAACATGACTGTTTTCTAACCGCCTTTACGATGCAAACTATTTTCAGTATAGGAGTTGTAGTATAGTTTTACTCTTAATTCTAAAATCCTATGCTTCCAAATTAGCCACTTTTAAGACGGCTTGAACAGAATGTTAAGACCTCAGAGAGCAAATATTCAAATAACGTTTGGTTGGGTCCTCAAGATGGGCAAGACAATAACGACAGTCTGAACTCAGTTCAAGAGCTTATTTCCAGGAACATGTGAGTTACTGAGGTGACAGTAACTTGATTAGTCTTAAGTAATAAGATGTCTGATTGCTTAAATATCTGGACTCATTTACATATCATTATTACGCTTGGTAAGCAATTAACTTTACAACCACCCGTTACTTGAAACTTGCCTGATTCACAGAAGTATAATATCCCAAACTGGTTACAGAAATTTGATGATCTTTATATTAGCCATTATAAAAGATTTCCGACTTGTTAATTATGGAGCTAAACTCACTTTAGGATATATAGAGTGAAACCTACATTAAGAAATATACAAACAACAGTAGACTTGGAACTATCGCAAAAGATAAGGTTAATTGTTTCATTCCTCATAATGGGGGAATATGTTGTCTGATTATGTAAACTAGCACTGCATAAAATTTAAATGATGTGGATGAATAATTAGTCACACTAACCGTGTAATTATCCAGCATCTTCAAAACTGTGGCATGTCTCCAACGTAGATCATCAGGAAGTTTGCGATTGATTAGCTTGACTTCAATCCCTTCCGTCATCCAGTAATCTCTTCGATTTCTCTTATCTTTAAGAGCTTCTTCTTTTTCCATTAATTCATCCAAGGCACGTCGACGAACTCCAGAAACTGCTGTAGTACGTGTGTCTTGCTTCTTTTCAGAACTAGATTTGGATTTTTCTTCACGTGCTTTTTTCTCAGCAATCAAGAGTGGATTCTGAAAGTCAAAGTGTGTAAAATGTTAAAACGGTAAAACTGCAACAACACCACGATCGCAAGTGTAGAAATTAAGTCTAAAAGTTGAAGTCATTATCAGAAGAAACAAGATACTTGCTTAAAATTCAGCTTCAACAAAACCTGATGAGAAGATAAAATACACTGAACTATGACTTCGATCAACTGAAGTGACAACCACTAGTATTAAAGAGAATAGGATTGCTTACTGCAGTTCTTTCCTTTTTCGGACCCAACGTCATAAGACTTTGAGTAGGTTTTTCTTCCGAAGAACTTGGGGAAGGATCAATCTCTGTGCTCATCACCTGGACAGGTGGCTTTTTTTGAGACAAAGAAATCTCCAATTTAATTGGTTCATCTTCATTGGTGCGGATGAGAGGAGTGTATACAGGACCTTCCGTTTGTTCAACTTTGTTGATATTGTGTTCTATTTGACGCTCTACAAATCAATACAGTTAGCAATCACGAGTTTACCTAGAAACTGTTTGTTGATTTCATCTTCTGTCTTTTCCAAACGCTCACTCTGTTCTTGTTTTTTCAACTTTTCTGGGTCGCGATCGATGTATTCGATAAACCACCCTTTCTCAGTTTCATCTACCTTGCAAATTCCCTGTTTTCCAAGCCACATGCACAGTCCTGTAAGTGTATGCCATCTCGTCGCATTCATATGTATATGTTCTTTGTCTTTGATATATTCTTGATAAACGACATTGGAATGCACGCGTTTCCCTCCAAACTGTCGACGTAGTATGTCGAGGTATCCTTTCAAAAAATCAGAAGAGAAACTGCTGATGAACTTTCCACCGTCTTCGGCAAAAAGTTTCATTTGCCTGTGGTGGGACTCCGACATCGTATGGCATTTGTAACCATTCTTAAAATTAACGTCGGAAAGTAGCAGGTACTTACTTCATCTCTGCACTGTTTTTGACACATCTGACAGTACCATCGCAGTTTTTGCAGTCCCTTCGATTTGATTCTGTTTGATATAGCTTTTGGAGTTAGGAAACCTGGTTTTTCTTTTGTCATCTTACAGCCCTCCAAGGAACGGACCTGGTTACACAAGGTTAGCTATTTCGAAGGTCAATGTTGGTTAAATATCCAATATCTTTTTCGGTACACAGGTTACGGAGTAGATTCAACAGGTACAAAGGATATGATTCAAGTGAATTTGCCTCAAACCAATGAGGTTGTCTTACCGAATTGCCGTCACATTTCTGATGCCTAGTTATTCATGCACACTAATATAAAACATTTAATGGAGTTATTTATGAATTTATTACACATTCTACATATAAACTGGAGAAGGAAAATGACTAAGAGAGTATCACGGATAATGAATTCTAAATTTTTCGATTTTAGGGGAAGCCAGTCTTGTGTGTTTCTACAGTGCCTCAGCTGGATTCAACCAGTGAATCTGGTCTTCATTGTAAGCTTCATACTCATGTTTCAGTGTACAAATCACAGACAGTTAGTTCTCGAAGACAAAGTTTCGTGGTTTGTACGAGTCCTTTTGCACCTGAATTTCTTACATGGATGATTTGTCTAGAAAGACATAAAATCACCCTTGATCTTCTGTAAGCGAAATAGGCTCATATAACGAAAAGTGAATAAATATATTTGGTCCTTTAGGTGCGACCTGCCCTTCATCATACGGACCCATGAATCAAGCCGAGGGATCAGAGCGATACATTATGAATAATATAGACTTGTGTACCGTAATTCAACTCATATTTAGAGGTAAATAAATCACCAGGTTAAATAGTTATTTGCATCTTTGACATTGATGCTGACCTCACTATCGCCAACTTCATTTTCTATCTCTATTGTTGGTATAAGAGGTGTATGTCTTATGAAGAAATTTTCTGCATTAACATTGTGAAATTCAAGGTGGGGCCGAGAGTAAGCTTTGAAAGGTGTTAGGAACAATTTTGGTGTGATTGTGCCGAGTGTCATCGCGTAAAGTGGAGTATTGAGTTTGCTTTTGTCACATCCTCCATATAGTTCGAGCGGGTATCTAAGCTCTCCATGATTACAAGCTAACACTTTTAGCTGTTACACTTAGAATCCTAAAATACAAATTTCTTTACGCGATATTATTTTTATTAAAAGTTTTCGGTAGTATCAACAAGCTTTTCGACGTAGCAGCCTATATATATATATATATACATCATATGAACGAAAGGTTGTGTAGACTGTCTGGAGAGAAGACTAAGTTCACTTTCTTATTGATATAGGGGGTGGTTGTTATATGCAACTTAGTGATGAATTTCACTGGATTTTTCGACCATTAAATTTAAGATAGAACACAACAAGACCCGGATATTTCTTATGATTCGCCATCGCGCTTAGATTGTGTATTTACAAAAAAAACTAATTAACAACCATTTAATTCTGGCTCCCCTAGAAAAAGCTATCACGCCATCATAACCCTCAGTTTTATCAACAAAACTGGATCAAGATATCCCACCAACAGCAGGCGCTGGAATTTTAAACGGTCGGACTTGTCAGCTTCACAGGGAAATCTACAGCAAGTGGGCTGGAAAGTTCGCCCTTAACGCGGTTTAGATGCTCATTAGGATTTCTTACTGCACGCGATTCTATGTGCTATACGGCATTCTGATCTGCTAATGGTCCTCAAATTCCACAAGTAACCTACAGTCATCAAGAACCGCACTCTTGGTTTTCCAAGCCGCCAAAGGCAGTTCTAGGTAGAATACGAACGAACTGATAACAACAGCGCAAACAAATATAGAACATATGCACAAAGGCGATAAGAGAAAAAGGCTTCAGCACCAGATAGAGCTTATCCATAAATTTGTCTCCAGTCAGGAAAGCTTACTCAGTTACACAGCCTCTCCTCGACAAGCCGAAACTGGAGGTTCCCAACAGCTGAGGTGAAAAAAGATTCAGGAGTGTTGGTACCCTGGAATTTGAAGTCTTATGCCGGCTGTGTCAAAAATACCTTCCGAACAAACCTTGCACTGGTAACATTGAAGCGCATTTTTGGCCAGATTGACGGAAGAGCTTTCCACATAATCGTCAACAGTTTTATTCGTCCCTATTTAGATTACGAAAACATAGTATTTCCTCCCTCACTAAAAAAGGATAAGGACACCCTGCAGACTATCCAACGACGCGTCATGAAATCAGTTCGGAAACTTAAATTCAAGCTTTATGAAGAGCGCCTCCAATCACTAAATCTTTACTCATTATGGCATAGGCGTTTTAGAGGTGACCTTCTAATTGCTTACAGCCTCCCTAAAACTTCTAAACATCCCCTTAAAAATATACCTAGTCCTAACACAAAACTTAGAGATAACACCCAGAAACTGGAAACGCGACAAAGCAGAAAGAACTGTAGACACAAATTTGAGGATGGCACGGGTGTTCAGTGTTTGAAAACGCTTTTACCAGTAACACCTAATATAACTCGTACCCACCAAGAGAAATCAAAAGACAGAATCGAGGGGATCAGAAGTTGTATTTGACGATTGCCAATATATCGGAATTGTCTGATCTAGTCTGGCTAGCGATTGCAGTAGCAGTTGAGCACGGCGTTCCCACACTTGATCTGGTGCGGATGCATGACCGAGCGCCTTCAGCTAGGTGAGTCCACTAAAGCTAATCTCGTCAGCATCCAATGTCGAAAACTTACAGAGCTATTTATTTCGGGGATTTATTTACCGCTACAGATCAGTCCCCCTCCTAGTGGGGTAGTGATGACCCTAAGATGTGGCCAGCCAGAAGTTTGAACCCAACGGGTTTTGTCGTTGGTAAACACTCTTCTGATAGCTTGCGAGGTTTAGCAGCGTCTGGTCGTCTTTCCTTACTATAAGTGACAATGAAATACAATATAGTAAGAAAATAATGTACAATCAAAATTTTGGTTCTTCGTAAACCTCGTCGTTCTTTTTATCGTCTTTTCCAGTCGTCCTGGAAAAGGAAAAAAAGAATATATAAGTGCATGTCGCAATAAACTCATACGCGCTTTAAGACACAAAATAGGTGAATAAGTATAAATAACGCAAAAGCGATTTTTAAAAAGTGTTTTTTTGTGTCTTTAAAAAAAATTTAATATACATATTAGCCAAATAAGAAGTATATATAAATATAAGCATATTAAAAATTGATTTTTTAACTTTATATTATACCATGGAAAATCGAGATAAAACAGAATGTTAACTAGTGTCTTACGTGCAATAGTCGTTTGCATGTTCTGGAAATCTTACTCTTCTTCCAGAAGAGCATCTGGGCTACCTGTTCCTGCCATCTAGATATTTCAACAAGTTATCTATTGTTGTTTGTTTTAATATATCATTATGTTTATTGATCGCATAACCTATTCTGCTGCGTTTCTGAAAAGGGTACAACCTTTCGTTGTCAAAGTTACAGAAAACTCAATAAGAGACAATATGGTTGCTGGAAATGTACAACGAAAAGAATGTACATTATTCAGTTGTTCATTCACTGAAGTGCTAACATCTAACTGGCGATTCTTCAATATTTATCGCCAGGACCGACCAAGAAGAAAGAAACGGAAACTTGTTGAAATACTTTGTGCTGAGAATTCTATATTGTACCAAAATTATAATATTGAATAAAGCTAATAATAATAACGCGTCGTTTTAAATTTATTTTCAGATACATTCGTATTATCATCGCCAGTGTTGGTTGTCGGTTGAGGAATTATGAGTGGGGTCGTGCCTTCCGATTGTACTGAAGGAAAATAGACGTGAATAGGATTTCCTTCTAAATACGCTGCTTTGAGGCGATCGATGCTAATGCTGTCGTTGGTCCCGTTCTTATCGACTATATAGTACTTAGATTCACGTTGAAGAACTTTGAAAGGTCCGTCGTATGCTGATTCGAATGGTCGTCGATGCGAGTCTCGACGTACGAAGACGTGTGTATTATATCGTAAGTCCGGTTGAACGAAAACATCAGTTGATTGCGGTCGAGTGGAAGCAGTTTTAACTGGACGCATTGCGTTTGTAAAACTGTTCATGTAGGATGTTAGATCCATGTTCACTGAAGAGGATGAAGGATCCACAAATTCTCCTGGAAGCCAAAGTGTCGTTCCATAAACGAGTTGAGCCGCAGAGTATCCAATGTCAGCTTCCAATGCATTGCGAATGCCTAGTAAGACGAGTGGAAGAGCGTCGGTCCATTGTGAAACGTTTGCAGCTGATAGTGAAGCTTCTAGTTGTCAGTGAGAGCGTTACACCAACCCGTTTGCTTGTGGGTGGTAGACCGTCGTTCGGAAGCGAGTGATTTCTAAAAGTGTGGTCAGATGACGGAAAAAATCCAGATTCAAACTGACGTCCACGGTCTGTAGTAATGGTTGGTAGGCAGCCGAAGTTTGCTACCCATTGTTCGACGAAGGTGCGGGCCACTGTTTCAGCAGTGATGTCCTTGATAGGTAGTGCTTCTGGCCATCGAGTGAAACGGTCTACGCAGGTTAAGAGATAAGAGTATCCATTTGGATTTGGTAAAGGTCCTATCAAATCCAGATGAACATGGTCGAAACGAGCATCGGGAGTTTCAATCGAGCCTAAGGGACATTTGTGTCTGATAACCTTAGATTTTTGGCAGCTTACACAGGAGCGTGCCCACTCCCTCACGTCTTTATTCATTCTAGGCCAGCAAAACCTTTCTGCTATAAGCTTGATGGTTGCACGAACACCTGGATGCGAAAGTTTGTGCAATGTGTTGAAGACATTGCGTCGATAATGTTTAGGCACGATTGGGCGATCCCTACCCGTAGATAAGTCATACAGTAAAGTTTCCCTACCTGTTCCCATCTGTTTGATGCGTAGTTTGAGGGTTGTAGACGATAACTCGTGCTGAAGATCAGTGTCTTCTTTTGGAAGCTCGGCGAGTTTAAGAAGGTCGATTACTTTTAAACTGTCCAAGGAAGTTATTCGAGGTAAGGCGTCTGCGACTACATTGTTTGCTCCAGAAATATGTTGAACTGCGAAATGTAATCCATTTGTCGAGACTCACGAGGTGAGTACTTGTCTGAAGAGGAGCTTAACGAGAAAGTAAGATGTTTATGGTCAGTGAAAAGAGTGAATTCACGGCCTTCGATATAATGTTGAAAATGCCGTTCAGCACAATACTTAGCTAGGAGTTCTCTACCGAATGTGTTGTACCTCGATTCGGTGTCTAGCAACCGTCTAGAGAAAAATGCCAAGGGTTGTCAGGAGTTGTTAACCCATTGTTGTAAGACTCCTCCGATTGACGAGTCAGATGCGTCCACCGCGATGCTAATGGGTGCTTGAGTGTCCTTATGTGCAAGCATTGTTGCTTTAGCGATAAGTTCCTTAATTGTGGAGAATGCTTTTCGTGCGATGTCGTCCAAATTAATTGATTTCGCATTTCCACGAAGTTGGTTAGTAAGAGGTTTGATGAGTAATGCGCATTTCGGTTTGAAACGTCTATAAAAACTTACAAGGCCGTTAAACTTTCGTGATTGCTTGATCGAGGTCGGTTCTGGATAATCCAGAATGGCCGTTACTTTGGTCCTAAGGGGTCGAATGCCTTGAGCATCTATAGTGTGTCTTAGGAAGTCTAATGAGTCGGTTCCGATTTGGTATTTCTGGATGTTTACAGTAATGCCATGTTCCTGTAGTCGTTCGAAAACAAGATCCAGATGCTTGAGATGTGTTTCTCTGTCCGGACTTGCGATTAGGCAGTCGTCAACATACGCATGTACGAAGCTGAGACCTCGAAAAACGTCGTCTATGAATCTTTGGAATGTTTGAGCAGCGTTCCTTAGACCGAAAAGCATTCGCAAAAATTCATAGAGTCCGAAGGGAGTAATTATAGCTGTTTTCGGAATGTCGTCAGTAGTCATAGGGATTTGGTTATACGCTTTAACCAGGTCGATTTTCGAAAAGACTGTTGTACCTTTCAAGATAATTGTCAAATTGTGGATGTGAGACAACGGGTAACGATCGGGAATGGTTTTCGCATTCAATCGCCCATAGTCACCAGTTGGACGCCAATCGTTGCTGTCCTTTTAAGGGACCATGTGCAACGGAGATGCACATGGGCTATTTGACGGTCGTATGATTCCGAAGTCTATCATGTGGTCGAACTAGTTCTTCGCCAACCTTAGCTTTTCAGGGGCTAGTCGTCGTGCTTTAGAGAATACAGGTGGTTCTGTAGTCGTGATGTGATGTGTAACGTTGCTGGTTACACACGGCAATTTCTGTTGCGTTTGGTTTATCCCAGAATACTTATTGAGTAGTGATTGATAGAATGGGTCTATCGCGTGCTTAATTGTGACTAGAGATAATCTGCAACCAGGAAAAGAAGTTACGCAAACAGATAAATTAGTGTTTCCGTCTACTAGCCTCCGTTTGCACGTATCAATGATTAGATTATGGTGTTGTAGAAGGTCCATACCAATGATTGGCATAGAAACATCTGCAACAACGAAGATCCAGTGTATCGGTTTGCGTAAACCCACGTTAAGGTAAACGTACCTTTTGCCATACGTAGCGATAGGTTTTCCGTTTGCCGCCTGTAAGTCTAAAACCGATTCGTGAAGCCGGTCGTTGGGATTTGCTGGGAAAACACTAAACTTTGCACCAGTATCGAAGAAGTAGCGAGCTTTTGTTTTCACATCTGTTACGTATAACAGACGGCTATGTTCGCCGGCTACGGTTGCCGTTAACGCGTGCCGGCTTGGAAGTTTCCTGAGTTTTTTTTCGAGTCCGTCGGTTTTGAGTTGGGAAAATCGCAGGCTTTTCTGCAATTTCTTGAAGACTTTCCATACTGGTTATGATACCAGCACAACTCGGGGTTATCCGTCTCTCGTGGTCTAGAGACAGATCGCCTACGTGAAATGCTTCTACGTGGAGTGTGCGAGCGATTACGGTCGTTATGAAGATTAAGATAACTCGTGAGTGTACGATATAACTCGGTTATGTCATTTTGAGTCGTGTGAGGCTTTTCTTTGACTGAAAATACCTCGGTAGTAGATTTCGTAATTTCTAAAATACGATCGGCAGATGCAGCCAGTTCGTCTAAGGCGTTGTTCTGAAACGAGACCAGAACTGCTTGCACCTGTTGGGGAAGTTTAGACAAGAAGAGTTGTTTGAACAGACCTTCGTCGAAGTTCTTGGTCTTATAACCTCTCTCATCCTTCGCAACATGTCCGTCGCAAAACCGTGTTGCAGGTCTATGTTATTAAAGAGTTGGATCAACCTTTGTCGATCGGTTGTGTCTCCTCGTTTAAGGATAGAACGCTTCAAGGTTTCGTACGGTTCAGAAACATCACTAGTAAACATACTAGGTGTTACGTAACTGTTGAATTCCCGCAGTAGTGCCTTGACTACTGAGAGGAATTGTGCACATGTGTCGTTCACGCCGTGCTCGGAAAAGTCGGCTTCTGAGTGGCAGAACCAGGCTTCGATATTGTCTAGCCAGAAGGGCATGAGTTGGGACGAGGGTGTGGATAAAGTCTTAAGCTTGAGTACTTTAGGTGTCTGTTCAGTCATGATGAAATATGAAGTACGATAATGAACGAGGGAAAATATATATATGTATCCAAAAAGCACGAAAAAATATTGCAGTGTATAAAAAATTAAGATAAAGCAATAATATATAGAATCCCAAAATGAAACAAACTCACAGTTTACGATTTGGTGTGCCGGATCACGTTAGGCTCACCAATGAAGATGGCACAGGTATTCAGTGTTTGAAAACGCTTTTACCAGTAACACCTAATATAACTCGTACCCACCAAGAGAAATCAAAAGACAGAATCGAGGGGATCAGAAGTTGTATTTGACGATTGCCAATATATCGGAATTGTCTGATCTAGTCTGGCTAGCGATTGCAGTAGCAGTTGAGCACGGCGTTCCCACACTTGATCTGGTGCGGATGCATGACCGAGCGCCTTCAGCTAGGTGAGTCCACTAAAGCTAATCTCGTCAGCATCCAATGTCGAAAACTTACAGAGCTATTTATTTCGGGGATTTATTTACCGCTACAACTTCTACTCTTTGAGAGTGGTCAAATGCTGGAATTCGCTGCAACTTCCCATGAATCCTTTGAGAAAAAACTTGAAATATTCCTAAGGACTAAGAATGGTACCTTACTATGATTTGCCACTTTTTCCTTCTTCTTTATCGATCATATCGCTATAGGTATAGGAACCTACAGGTTGCTGGCTGGAGGTAACGATGATCCTCTGTTGCAAAATACGGACGTCCAACAAGCTAAATCTGCTTCTATTCCATCCAGAACCATTTGAGGTTGTCTTATCAGTTAGACAGAGATAACAGGGAACAAATAGTTCGTTAATTTAACCAATCTTGGGGTTTGGACGTCTTGCTACGCGCCTGAAATAAAACTGTTTTTTCTTTGGTTTCGTTGGTCTTGTTCTATAGAAAGACAGCTCATTCTAGTCCTAGATAAGCGTACTAATGTACTTAAATTTTTTGAGAAGTTTGATTATTCGATGCATTAAAACTTGTCAGATATGCATAGACTTAATTTCAGACAATAACGTTTCGTACATCGCTCATATAGTTAGAAAATTAGTTAGCACTTGGTAATTTAGCATAAAATTACTTATTGCATATGTGATTGTTTCATCTTGGCTTTCAAATAAGGCATTAAATGTTACTGATTGCCCTAGAAAATCAACAAATTATTACTCACACATTAGTTTGAGCTTGTATATGAGCGGCCCAACGTCAATTTATTAGTAACAATATGTTTTCTTTAAAGAATGTGTGGTATCATCATGGATATGAGCAATATTTTTTATAGTAATATATTTGTATTTCACGCATCATGTTAATGGATGACAAAATGTCAAACTTAAGGTTTTCAAATTAAATTTTGGCTAACATTTCCAAATACCTTGATAAACTTAGCTCTCGTTTGTCATAAAATTCATCTAACTTAACTAATAATTTGGCCTTTTACTCAGTAGCCCACATTCTAGGACAATAAAATCTCAATATTCCACGCACACTTAGGGCTCAAAACAGATACGGACGTACGACGTATGTGTGAAAATGTACAAACTTCATACGTTTCTTTTAATGCAATTTTCTTTTAAAAAGGTAGTCTCAGCTATTAATATTATAATATTGCTTGAAATTTTTAAGGCTCAATAGTCAGTAATTGGCGATAATATTATGCTAAGTGTGACTTCTGGATCATTCTACTATTTTACATTATTGGCTCTTTTTCTATCAAGTTTTGAGCTTACTTATTACGTCATGCTTCTAATTGTCCTGTGGGCCGTTTTCCGTTTTATTTATTTGCTTTCGAACTGCACTTGCTGTTTTACCTTAATTTTTAGTCTTTCAGGGATCTTATCTCATCTTTCCTCACATTTTTATTTTAAAATTACCTGTTTTTATCGAGTACAGAATAGGATTTTACCAATTTTTATCAACTTTTTCGGACAAACGGATCGTTTTGGGTTTACAAAATGGATTTAAGTAAGTCAATCAATATTATCGCTATGATTTTAGCTACATGTTATGGTAAATTTTCCATTTTGAATCTCATCTTGAAAAGTCGCTTCTTTAAGCCCATATTATAAAATTAGTTTACAGATTTCGCCAATAAAAATGACCACCGAGACTTAAAAGTGGCGAGAAAATGGATCGTATGTCAATCATTCTTCACTATTCTCATCATTTCGATAATTCACTGTGACCGTATCTTGTTACAATACAAATAAAGGCTGCCATGCAGTTGCACTGCATTACTCTGTGGCTGTGAAACAGTCCATGTAGGTAGGGAACGTAAAAATATTCTACCTTCTTTAAATAAGTGCCTTTTAAGTATGATTTGGCCGCCAAGTGAACAACCTAGGTTTGATATATATATGATTTTGTGTATGGCTGGTATGTTGGTTGATGGGCTTGCGGATATTTAATTTAAATTAAACCGCCGCCTACCTCAATAGCTGGTATCGGGCCATTGTGAAAGAAACAGTATAAAGCCTATCGACCAAGTCGTTGGTTGTTGGTTTATACCATATAGAAAAAAGGTTAACATCTAAAGTAAGTACATTAATCATTATCGTTGGATGGATGACTATACATATGATGGGGCCAGCTGTATTGGCTTAGTTGTATTCCGTCTATCGATCCCTAAATCTTAAAGCTAGTGTTATTCTGTACTTTCCATTTTTCGATCCCACTCCTTTTTTGTATGCTGTGCTCTGTGTTAAGTTTTAGTTTCCAATCCTTCATACTAGTTCTAGTATTTTCGTAAAGTTCGAGTGAACTTATCAAGTGTAAGTGTATTCTGCGTCACTGTTCATTTTAGTGTTATCGAACCTATCTTCATAGCGATTCTTCTTTGGCAAACAAAATAAATGACTTATTTTTATGTCAAGGCATCAACTTAGTGCTCTTCGAACCCAATATTTATTCCAAGCGTTCCTGAATGTTGTTCAAATTTATCCCACAGAAATTGTTCGATTGACACTAAGCTTGTTACTGCTTCAAATGACCAGCCAAAACCACTAAACTCAGCTATTAAATTTGTCTCTATTATTAGGAATTATTATTATTATTATCGATCTTCACGGTTTTTATGTATGATTTGGAGAACTTTTTATCATAGGTTATATGGACGTTGGTGTAGGTATAGTTCGTTGGGTTAAATAAGCAGGTATCAATGGGTTGTAAGAGCCCCTCTGAAATTTAATGCCTGCATGATGAACTCTTGAAGTAACAGGCAAGTATGTTTGAAAACCAGAACCTCACAAAAAATAAAGAGTGAATTCATCTATGGTACTGTGGCCGACTCTGAACCACATCACCAAACGTCTTTGACCACTGATATTGGCTGTCTTTTGAACTTTCGCCTGGCAGTCTACAAGTGTCAACTCGGATTCGACCAATAGTCAGTGATTTCATGGATTGATATCACTTATTGTTTTGACCGTTTTCTGCTTTCTTTCAACCTACTCTTGTCCCAACTACCATTGCGCTTCGTGGTTGGCTTTATTTTTGCATGCGTATCACTTGTTTTACCTGCTGTAGTCAGCGAATATTCACAAATTTATCAAATAGATTTCATCTTTGTCCCCGATGCCCTGTTACGACTGAGGGTGGGGAGATTCCACTCTCCTCAAAATGCTCTCACATGGCCTCGCGTATACAGCTACTTCCAAAGAAGTCCTACTCACTTCCTTCTCGTGGCGGGGGTGCTGTTTACGAAATTGAGAGGATGAAAAGCGATTGTCCGGCGCTTTAACCGGGTTGATGGATACAGAGGATCCACCTAGGGGAGTTGAAAAACATTGATTCCAAACCAATGGTGTGCATGGGCTCCGGGATTATGAGGAAACAAATGGAGTATGAACCCATTGTTGGTCGGCAGCCACCATGGGATTACATCTGACGTTGCTTCACTGCCTTGTTGGTCAGACCTTTCGGCCTAAGGCTCGGGATGTGGCTCCCTATGAAAACCACCTGCTTCGGTCTGGGCACCTGGGAAGTATCCCAGCCCACACACAAAGTGATAAACACTCTCAACTTCTTCACTTCCTATCATTAGTTTATATGTTGATGCAGACCAGTCTAGAAGCAATATTTTGCATTCATGGGGTAAGAAATGTTCTCCAGTCCATCGTTACTCAAGGCCTTCAAAGGATCCTAATTACGTCAGTCTTAATTAAACAGAACAAAGTCAACTAGATATTTCACATCAATGAGTAGGTTTCCTGAGCAAGAATCACCGCCTAAAAAGTTACCTAAAAGATTGCTATTTTTAGGAAGAAATATGAAATTGAGGGATTTACAAGAAAGTCAGAAACATTCTTGTATTAATCCATATTATCAGTATCCGACTGCAGTATGATATACTAGTCTATTGTCGGCAGCAAAAATTAGCTGGCACATCACTAACAACTTCTGGCAGTTAGTTCTGACGAAAAGTAATGTGTAACTTGTGTAGATCTTCAGTAAACAACCGGGCCAGCGTAAATGTTTGTTTAGGTAGGTTGTTAGTTAGTAAGTCATTTTATTCACAGGTATGATCATCTGGGCTATTATTTTAAATTTTCTTGACAGAAGACTATCTGAATTGATAGTTTTGTTTATTCTCTTCTATAACTTCTTGTTCTTATGTTTGAGCTTATTGATGTGTAATCATTAGCAAACTTCACAAAACTGAAAGTCATATTCAACTAAAACTACTCTTAGTTTGGTTAAATTTGCACTTAGTTTCACTTGTATTTTGTGTTCTTAGATGCATACAAAGGATGGTCTTCTGAACTTCATTCTACATACAATCAACTTCTGGAATATGAAAGTTTTTTGCGTTTGTTTCCTGTAGAGGTTGCTAACTCTATAGCCACCAGTACTGTAATGAGTGTGAAGGTAGGATGATGTTTCATTTAATAGTACAGTGTTTAAGTTAAAGAAAACATAATTATTTGTAGTGGATTATGTATTTATTCCTATTAGACAAGCAACTAAGTTTTCAGTTACAAAAGTAAAATTAAATTATTAGTTACTGAAAAATTCCCGTCATATTAAAACACAGTTATGAATAAAATACAGATTACTGCAGTCATACGTCAGCCTGCTGTGGTAGAGAACAAACCAACTTCCAGCTGAGGAGGAAATTAAGAAAAGATATTGGAAGTGGATAGGACACACATTGGGAAAATTATCAAACTGCATCACGAGGTAAGCGCTAACTTGGGGTCCTGAAGGGAAACGAAAAAGTGGAAGGCCGAAAACCACACTGCGTCGGGAATTGGAAGCAGATATAAAAAGTATGAATAGCGACTGGAAACAACTGGAAAGGATTATCCAGGAGAGTGCTGGATGGAGAATGCTGGTGAGCGGCTTATGCTTCTCCATAAGGGGTAACAGGCGTAATTAAGTAAGCAGCCGTACGTGATTATTTCAGTTGAATAATCATCGGAAGCCTGAAAATGAGATATCTTATGGTCATTCGTTCGTGACCATCACTGAATCGATCTGTGACAGAACACGATTAAATATAAAGGACTTAATTAACTGGTTGTTTAGCATTTACAACCGACTGTATTGATTATTATAGGTAGCATTACAGTTAAGAATTAACCTATTTAGTTTTGTCATAGTTTCGTTGGTGTGTGATTAGTAAATCAAGCCCATATTTTATAATCAATCATGTTTCAAATTACTTCTAATTGTTCTATAATTTTATTCAATAATTTGTATATATCAGGGCAACGCTTTACAGTAAAGAAAAATTTATTCAGTTGGCCGCTTTGTTGTTTCTTGATATCGATTCATTCAGAAGTTTCCATTTATGCTTTCATCTTGTGAGCCTTCATATCTTATCATTACTTATCGTCTATTGATCAGCCTTTTGTCCATCCTTATGATAACAACTGTATTCGTAATCAGCCATCCTAAAACACCTTAATAATGCGAAACTCCATCTGAAGTAAGGGTATTAGGCAACTTTATTAGTGTAGCCGAGCTGTTCTATGAGGGTCTTTATTACTTCGACATAACATCGTACCTATTTTACAATTAGTTATTGCTCTTTGACTTTTAAGATGTTGATTTTTTAAAGGGCACTCGAAAATCCAACTAGATGGTAATTGAACTGTTATTCTTATCACCAATTTTTTGCCTCCATAATAATAATAATAATTTATTTTTTCCGATTCAAGCAACCCTTCGTAGAACTATATTGTCGTCTCTCATTTCACAGACCCCATTTCCTTTTGATTATTTGGAAACATTCACCTACATGTTTCGTGAATACACACACCATCTGAATATTTATATTTTGTTGAGTAATCATTTACTCAGCTTAAATTCACAGATTTTGTTTCAAGACTAGTGATACTAAACGGTTGCTTATGCTAAATTAGGTTAAGGGAGAGTGAAACTTTGATACCAGTCAGTCAGTCATTCAGTCAGCTACAACGTAGGACCAGGCACATATGTGCATCGGTCCAGGTTGCCATACCGCATCAGCACAACAAGATGAACACCGGATTCATAGCAGTGGTTAGGTCAAAGGTAGTAATATGTAAGAGAAAGATTGCATATGGAGATATAGTACAAGAAGAAAGAATTGCTTCGTAGAAAGAAAGATATGAAGCGATTTTAATCTCTTAGTTTAAGGGAAGACAGGGAGTGTATACACCGACGCCATTGTGATCGATTCTGAGCCATGTCACCAAGAGTCTCCAACCATTGGTTACGATAGTCACGCGGACCACAACCAAGTAGTCTGCATCTAACAACATGGCTCAGACTAGAAGTTGGTGACTTTAAGCACTGATGCCACGTTTTGGTTTGGCCGCCCCTAACTTTCTTCCAACCATTTCCAATACCGGATAGCATTGCACGACGTGGTAATCGATGTTCGGGTATACGTAACAGGTGGCCCAACTATCTCGGTCGATGAAGATTCACAACCTCATCAACTGATTTACCATCATTCCCTAATACCCTGCGTCGAACCTCATTATTACTCACCCGGTAATCCCGGCAGACGCCAGCAATATTTCTAAGGCATCTGTGGTCAAATACTAGTAGCTTACGAGTGTCCTCTACTCTTAATGGCCATGTTTCGCTACCGTAAAGTAAAACAGAACGGACTGCCGCGCAGTATAGTCGTCCTTTTATTGATAGACGGATATCTCGCCTTCACCATAGGTGACGTAAGTTGACAAAAGCCAAACGAGCTTTTCGAATCCGTGCTGAGATTTCGTCAGACACCAACCCATTAGGGCTGATCAGACTTCCGAGATAAGTGAAGTTGTCAACGCGTTCGACTACTTCACTCCCCATCCTTAGTTCAGGTGTTAACGCAGACCAGTCCTGAAGCCACAACTTGCATTTAGAGGGATACCATAACCATTAAACTACCATTTCATCCAGGTTGATAAACTTTTGTACTGAGGTCCTCTATTTGGACTAGACTTTCATGTTACGTTAATGCATTATTACAAATTATATGCACTTAATAAGAAACTAGTATAATAAAATAAATATTACTATTTCAAATTATCTGTAATAGCAGTTATACATTTAGCAACTAGTCACATGAACTCGTGGAGATTTTACCGTTTTAACATGATGGCCATCAATAATACTGAACGTTTTGATGCGTGAAATATTCCTGACAAAAGTTTTATGGAGGGAAACAAAGGTAAACGACCAAAAAATGGTGATTTTCAAATGTTCCGAACTGTATTCCCTGAAAATGTCACCACTAAGTTTCATACTCCAAGTCTTTATTTATCACATTTTGCTAAATATTTTTGTATATAGACATATGATTGTTTGATAAACGAGATGTCTTATAGGTAAGTTGTGGACTTAATAGCTCAGCGGTAACGTCTCAGGCTGTGAAGCTGGGCGACGCTTGTTCAAACTCCATAGAGGGCATCACTCCCTTCAGCATTATAGTTACATTTTAGTCATGAATTCTAAGTGTCATGAAACCTAGAGCAGAGTTTCTCGCTGACCACTCCCAACTACCTTACGTTTTGTATGCATTATTAGATAAACTCTTGCTAGATGGTGATGCAAATTACTTACACGTTGACCAATTCGAAAATAGTGAAACTGTTTTCTATCTTTTTCCTGTTTATACGGGAACTTATTCTAATCAAATTTTAGTGTGATTGTTCATGTACTCTTCTGTCATCGTCTGGTGATGTAGTACCTGCCAATACCGATGCAACACATGATGGTTCTGTTTCTCATCGAAGCGAATCTATATCTCTTCCCCAAAATGTTTCTTCAGCACCGAATCCGCGTTCATCTTTTTCTGGTCAGACTTCCGTAGTACGTTTTGATTCTCCAGATGAACTGCGTTGGGTTATGCACGTACGTTCAAAATACAATTTGCAAATATTTTTTCTCTTATAACAGTATGATTCTTGTGTAACTTTCACACAATCAGTCATTAGTGTATTAAAATTAGATTCAGTATCTCTTAGGTCGAGTCTCGAATCGGGATATCTGACCTGCAGGGGTAAATTTTAGGATATCTAAGGTACACAGGATGTGTCAGTCTAGAGTTTATTTTTTGAGTTTCTGATTTAGGGAGATCAGTGCTTTGGGAATCTGTAGCTATAAATTTGCTGACCATACATATTATATACTGGTAAGCAATACTATCCGGTTGCTTTGATCAAAATAATTTGATTTCTAGTCAAGTACGTAGGTCTTTGGATTACAGCTGCACAAAGGTTTCATTTATACCTTCTCTTTCTTTGTACTTTTGTTGGAGTTCCAAAAGTAAGCAATAACAATTTCCAGGTGTATGTATAATTATATGATGATGAATCACTAGTTTATATTACATTCTCAGTTTATAGTTGTTTTTTCCAGTTTCAAAGTGATCACGTTGATCAATATTTAATCCCTGCTATTACCAATGTTTATTGCAGCAATATTATCGATTCGAGTTAGTAAAACAGAATCTGTTCTACAAGGAAAATTAGATTGTAATCCATACTCTTTTTCTTATTTGTGGTTATTTTAATAGGGTTTGTTATTCTGTTTAAATACCTACAATTTATCCTATAGATTAGAATTTCTAACTTGAATCCTTGGAAGTTAAATCTATAAACCATAGAGTCACAAGCCTATTCGTTGTGACTAAAATTATTTTACTATTATCTATATTTATCTGATGTAACTTTAGTAATAGTGTGTAATCGTTGTGGGTTAAGAATGTATGTATATATCATATGGTTGTGTTTGCATTTCATGTATGCAGACGGTACTGCAGGCAGTTCTATGTATGTACTAGTCTGTTATACATCTGTAAAATTTCCCACTTAATCTTTCTCACTATGATTGTTACTTTTTTGCTATTCATCTTGTTAATTTCATCTCGTGATGCTATAATGGTATGACAACATGAGCAACTCAAATTCTTACCATGCTCTACGTTAATTCTGACTGACCAAATATAATGATTCATAAATTCATACAACTATGTGTCTTAGTTTTTCCTGTTTATACGAAGTTTTTGTTGTAACTAAGGTGACTGACAATAAAACAATTTGAACTTGAACTTATAGCGAGTAAAATTTTCCTAAAACCAATCAATTCTTGCGAAGTCTTTAGTGTCATAGGAATTTGAGTTTTTTGTTGCATTAAGATTTGAGGCACATAATAGCGCTATATATTTGCTACACAATTCTGTTATGAAGCATATGTGGTACTTGATACTAATTACTTAAAAGCAAATGACCATTTGACTTTTTTGTTAGCCAGAACAGATTTTCACATCATTAACCTTTATTTCTTTTTTTCTACGGTTATTACAAAACGCAAAGTGATAAAGTTTACTCCCATGAACTTTTGTTCTTTTGTCCTTCGTTCTTAACACCTATCACGCAAAAATGGATTTCATACCTAACTAGCTAGAATCTCTTAGCATCTGTATGATGTTTTAGGCATTTTAACCGTATAGAAATGTTTTATGTTCCATTTTTTGAGATGGCTCATGGTGTGACATTTAAGAAAAACACTTTATTTTTGCCTTAAGATACCATAAAGGTGAATTTTTAAAATGTTTAAACTTCCCGAATCCTATGTTGTTTCTTCTTCCTATGTTATAAACAAAATTTTCTGGTCTGCTCTTAGAGACAATCAATTTTATAGGGTTTGTGTGGCTAAGTTGTATGTATAGCACTTAGCATGAAACCATGGATGAAGTGTTTGGACTATGATTTATGGTTTGTAATATTCTGTGAAATATATGAACAGTGATATGTTAGAATAAATCGGTCACCTTATAAGCGCTAATGTCATTATTTACTAACGTGGTCGTAAGCAGTCACATGCGCTTCATTTTTAGTCATACCAATCATATCTTACGTACGCTGATTTTAGGCAGTCTCATTTTTATTACATAGGCTATCACTTACGGACTGACTATGTCATCTGAAAATTGGGACGTCATCAAACACAGTGCACATATTTACTGCTATTGGATCAGATGTCTTAATTCTTCAATACGCTCCACACAATCAGGGAATTCGAACTCACCAATTCCGTTGATTCTACAAAAGGAGCCACAACGTTTCTTAAAGTCCCTTTTGTTCTCCCTTACTTATTATTTCCTTCCACGTGATCCAGAACCATTAAGTGATCAGCCTAAGTTAATGTTTTCAACCCTTGGTCGAAGTTTAGCACCTCCACAGTATTTGACTAGTGCCGACTCATCAGAAGCTCCATCTTCTTTTACAGGTTAGAGTTTTAGCCTTTCATTTATTCTTGTCATAAATGTTGTTTTATGTTATTCTCATCAGCTTATTAAAACATGTGGCTTGTTTGGAGCCATATTAATGTCATCTGAGTCAATAATTTGGTGCTCTCGGCTTTTCGTAGGTAATAATCCACCATAAGTATTTTAGCACACTTGGTTCTTGTCATTTACCTCCTTGTAATTTTCACATACATGAGAACATGAAGGTTAAAGGTATTCCACCATCATGGAATTTTCAGCACTTTCGTGATCCCCCTCCCATGACCGGGAAGGTTCAGTGTTTAGCTGTTTTGTAGTTGTGATACCTCTTTTTGTGTTTATGACTTAACTGTTGTCTCAGTTTTCACCAGATCTGTTCATTTTGTTGCATCTGTGCTGCAATATTCTAACATGGAATCAAGTCGTATCTTGTGGATAATAAAAACTTCCATCTTGCAAACGAGATTGTCGTATAATAGTGCTAAGGACGGTTATAATATTTATGTATTTAGATTAAGTTAGCGAGGGATGACAAAACTAAAAAAATGTTTGGCTGAAACCCAACTTAACAGTGCGGCGCAACTGTTTCAGAATCACTGCTCTCATTAATTTACTGTATAGTAATGATGAATTCCTAACAGATAATAATGACAATGCTTAGAGTTTTGACAAAGTCTCAAATTACCTAACGATATCAGTCCAGGTAAGCAAAGTAGTTTCGATGTGGTTACATAAGACGGTAATTTTTATCGTATTCGTAATTTTAGTACGTTGGTGCCATTTATGGTCCAAGGAGATTATATTGTAACATTTCAGATTAGCCTGTTGGAGCTACGCTAGTTTGCATCAGTTTTACTGATATCCGGGTATCATTATTATTCCAATTTTGCATAAAAAATGGTTTATGCAACGTAGATATACAATTTTCAGTTGCCACTCTAATGTAATCCCTATTCCTAGTTTTGGTTTGTAAGTTTTGTTTATTCGTTCTGCTTTTTAAAATTAAATTTTTGTTTAGTTCTATTTTTTTAAATAATTTTTTAGTGATCGAGTCAACACACTTATCAGCGTTGCTAAATAAGCAGTTAGACATTATAAAACTGGTGGCTGCTGCAGTCGAAGAATTATGCTCAGTACCGACTCAGTTAACATCTGACTCCTGGGATTGTATATTGCGGTTTTGTCTGATCATATGTCATGCTATTCTGTCACCACCTTTACATTTACCATCAGGATTAATCCAGTCATCTACTGGGGCTTCTCAGATGACCAATACTTTTATTTCGGGATCAGGATCTGTTGGTGGACCTAATTCTATGGCTCTTTTGTCAAATCATTCCAGTTCTTCAGATGTTAGGGGCACCAAGGATTCAGCTACCTTATTTGACGTCATATCAGACTGCGTTTCCAACTTACTATTCAGTACTTGGTTAAAAGCTTGTACTCATTGTTTTCCTAAACCACAACTCTGGGTCGCATTTAGAGAGTGCGCAAGAGTATGGCGACATCATAATGCGTTTATTAAACAGTGGTCTCGTGTTTCCGTGGCATTATCCGCTACTTTACTTGGTATACTAAATAAACCTACTAACTTAAACGGTAATTTTTACGTAGTCTTATATATATAATTTTTTTGATAATCAATGCTCCAAGACCATCTTTTGCAAGTTGAGTGTTGTTGTATTGGTATATGTGATAGCGAGACAGAATTTGGAAGTTGAACGCACTTCCAAATATTCCGGATTATGCCGCAAAGTTAAGTGGCAATTATAGCTTATCAGTGTTTTAGTTTGACTAAATTGGTGGCTTACTTAGTGACCTGTGCTATAAATCAGGAAAAAAAACAGACATAGTTTCCAACATATAGTCAGTAGTATGTGACGAAACCATGTTAAAATAGTAACGTATGATACGTCTTGTGATCACTAACGACTATTTTTCATTCATCATCAGCTAAACAATTGGATTCTCACAGATCAAATCACACGCAAAATACTAACATATCTGTCCAGTACTTTCTTCAAAAGCAGATTCGAATGAGGTTGTGTTCTAGAATCTTAATAGATACAAAAATATGATTGATTTATTCACTACAATCTATGTCTCAGTGAAGTTGATAACGAGAAGTGTTTTCAATGATCACGAAGGATCATAATAAGACTCGCATCGCAAAAGTGTTTCAATGATATTACTTTATTACATCGTTCAAAGCATCTCGAAACGTACGTAAACAATTTTTTAAAAACTATTTCCCCAAAAATTGCTTGTTCCTTTGAGCAATATTCCTTAAGAACAAGTTGACTAGATTATGGTTTAGAGTCAATTTTCCCTTACCAACCCATAGAAAGATTAGAATGTCAAACCTTTTTAAAAATATGGTTAGTCTGTTATCAAAATACTTTGTACCTACTAACAGTACATCTAGGCTTTCGGATATCTTCTAACAACATAGCACAATGATAGTCTTTCTTTTTTATGAATCTATTCTTTTGAACTAATCTAACATAATTGAGTGTTACAGTTGGACATTTGAATTGATTCAATGCAGTATATAATTCTGAATATTACATAAAAATAATAACTATAAGCTTATGACTTCGTCTGTGCAGTAGGTTGTGATTGATTTTTATGAAATCATTCAATGGTGAATATTTCACCCCACTAGTTGCGATTTTTTTCTCTATTAGTTAATTTCTCAATTTCATGCAATTGGTTCCCTTTATGAATTTAAATAAATGTAAATAACTGGGTTACACTAATTTATGTCAATTGTTCTCACTCTACCTCAATGTAAAAATTCTATCACATTTTTGGTTTGTAAGCAGCTGACGAGAAACCTCGAAATAATATGAATTCATACTATTCTGCACCAATATTTGTTCTTGCTTTATTTAATTTCTCAATTGTTATTTTTAGAGTAATTAAAATAACCCATTGTATCGTTGAGTAGTAAAAACAGAATTCAGCGAAGAAAATTTTCTTTTCGACGAAGTTACTTACTTAATCTGTACATTTGTATTTATAGTTGTATGGTAAATATATATATATGTCTATAGAAAGGTAGAAAGGGTTGCATCATAAAGTGACTCGAGACTCCAAATATCGAATGGAGTTACTTAATAATCAGAGAGTTAGATAAAAATAGAAAGATGTAAATAATTAACGGGTCAAGATTATGAAAGATAATTGTCCGCTGGACAGATATGAAGAAAAACGAACATAAAGGTCATAATAAAAACTTGATAATAATCATGAAAAATTGTTAATGGATAATAATAACTGGTTACGGTTAAAAATCACAAAACACTAATTAAAAATATACCAAAACATACTACAGAAGGAAATTAGGGTCAAGGAAGGATGAGAGGTTGGACGTATCGTTTTTACACACAGAGTCCGGGCCTCAACTGCGCATAAGTTTTTGATTCGACCTCCCTTCGATCCAGTTCATTTGATTGTGTTGATTATTTTAAAAGAAGACTCCTTCGAAGTGACGTGTCCAAAGTTGATTAGATGCTCCTGTATTGAGTAAGTAACTTTTGCATTCTCCTTTTAAAAGCCACTACGGATAATGTTCTGAGATGCGTTTGGAAAGTGATCGCTTTGTGCGGCCAATGTAACCTACCGTACAGGAGCAAGTAAATTTATCGATATGACTCAAAGAGAAAATTTGTCCTCAACATATCCCTGAATGATAAGCTGGCTTGAGAAGACAATGCGGAGCTTAGTTGAATAAGTTTTATTCAGGGGTTTTGAAATCGGTTTATTCAAGATTTCAGCAGCCGTATCTCCTTTAAAGTCGACATTCATAAAAAGTTTTCTTTTGAGCTGTTGTTGCTTTCTCAGGACGTTGTCTAAATGTTAAGTTCCTATAGATTAATCTAGGTGGATTAACACTATATAGTTGTCCGACGGTGATATTTAAGACTGCCATTGATTAGTCTATGTTACCATATTTTCATCCTTACTACATTCTATATTGCCATTAAGTCACACATTTTTCAGTATATTTGATATGTAGTTTGTGGTGGAATTCAGCACGCGTGTTTCGTCCGGCTTGGGATCCGTTCACAGGATTTACCTGAGCTAAGTATTGATGTTCACATGAAGACTTGAACGCATTACCTTTTGTTTCAAACACCATCGCATTATCCACACTATTGATCTTCAAGTTAACCAATACAATTATTTCATTCTAATTTAGCTTATGCTTCTTTCATTCAATTAATTCCATCTGATCTACCTGATGGAAATGCTAAAGAATCTTGGATTCGTATGTTATATTTGATCGACAATCCAGTAGATCTTAGTCATGAACGTTTAATATGTAATACACCGATTTTTGAAGAATATAAGTAAGTTACAAACTGTATTTTCTCTGTTTCACCCTGATATTTTTACTTGTTAAGGTATATCCTGATGATATGAAAGAACTTCTTATGGATTTTTCTTATTCCATATGGTTTCCATGACACTTATAATCTTTATCATTGTCCTGATGGATTATCGTTCTCACATGTTCAGTGAAGTTAATGGTGTCGTTAAGCAGTTGACACAAACCAAAGTTGTTTGTAAAACTTATAGAAACTTTTTACCGTTTTTAAGAATAAAATTTCCGTTATTTAAAGTTTTATCCTAATAATAGTTTCAATGTACAACGGCCAGCTTCGTGTTATCGTACAGCTGTGTGGCTTGACTTACAAGGTTGGAAGATATACTTAGATACAGGCATTTGTTGTTAAGTGCCTCTGGATCATTATTCATGTGTTACAAAATCGTCAACTGGGTAATGTTGAGGCTAAATTCAATATTTTAGACAAATTAAAGATAAATCGTTTGATGCAGATGTGAAATTTCATCGATTGAATTAACTGGATTGTGTGAGTCATCTTGTACTTCAGCATATATTACTGACCGAACCAAGCTTAGACCGAAAAAGGTTGAACTAATTGACTAAACTAAAACATGACATCAATCCACGAAGCCAATGAGTGTTAGTCTGAATCGTTCAAAGAGTTGTAGACTTACTGAATTAGGCCCTCATTCAAATCGAATAATTTATGTGGTGCATATCTATTTTTGGTGCCCACTTGTACCAATGTTTATGTGTTTAAATAAATAAATAAAATAAAGAGTGAGGCCTTCAACTTAATGACAGTTGTTGTTTGGCGACATATGGTAATATAGTTCAGAATTGGTCATAATGTTACTGATGAATTCACATTAGATTTTATGATAAATTCTTAACCTTTTTTGTCTACTTTTCGTTTGTATTCCCTTCCACTTCCATTAATATCGTCTCACTTCCCGTTAAATCTTTTTGATTGGTTAAATAATACGAGAATTTTAACTTATGTAATTTAGTTTACAGTTTGTTGAATAAACTGTATTGCAGTTTTGAACTGATAAGATTCGATATAAATCGTTGGTGGATACTTTGTATGTCACTTTTATTAAATTGTTTAATGAAAATTATTAAATTTTCATACTGAGTATTAAAACTTCACATGGACTTTAAAACTTTGAATTTTTAGTTTTTTTTTAATCATTTCCAAAATAAAAATAAAAACACGTACTTTAAAAATTAAAAAAAAAGATTACATCACTATCAGTTATAAATAACTCCAAAGTCTTGTGACACCAAGTATTCATGGTGTATTGACTTTTGCAGATTAAAACAAGCAAAGGAAAGTGGTTCAACGAATAAATCGCTTTTCATTAACTTCGTTATTGAAAAACTAAACCACCTTCTTCTACTTGTTTCTTTCTTTTTTATAGATTATTTTTTGTTTATTTAGGAATTTCAAAGGGGTTTTTGATTATTCAAATATGCATCAAACAATAAAGAATATTTTGTATCATAATTTGTCTAGATTGAACCAGTCAACTTTATTCATAAGTATGTTCAGTTTCCCCAGTATCAAATCACTAAGAGATCTTAGCTAGACCACTATTTAAATCTTGAAAGCACTGGGAGCCCATTCTGTTTTAGTATGGGGCTCCACAGCAGTTATCATGATCCTGCGGCCGGAAATCGAACCCAGGCTCTTCGGTCTTGCACGCGAATACTTTAACCTTCAGACTACTGACCTGGTATCCAGTAGTGTTAACGTCTAACTACATGATTCAAAACTGTGAAAATCCTGCGATTTCCATAAATCTGTATTTGATTGTTAAGTGAGCAATTTAGTTAAAAGCATTGTTCACATCGTTAGCTTATTTATCATTTATTAGAGGTTTGTTAACTGAATAACTGTTTCATGTATAATAGATTACAAAAGAATTACACTGTTATTGTTTTTATTGTTGGTTCATTATTTCGATAACAATAGAAGTCAGGTCAACCTAGCAATTTCATCATGCCATCATTTCTTAGTGTTTGTACAACAATATTTATAGACTATTATCAAAGTAATAGTACCAAGGTATCTTTATTACAAAACAAAAACAAGTTGAGTAATCATTAGAAATTCTTGGGACGGCTTCGAATAACACTACGAAACCTCCAGAGACTAAAGCAGCCGAAAAGATTTCATCCAGTTAGAAATTGGTAGAACCATCCCGACCGTTGTTGCTACCTTGACATGGTGGTCGGGCTTGTCTATCGTGATGAAGCAACCGAGCTATACTGGCTGGAACAACTGTTCCTCAAGGTCCTACCATGTCAGACAGGTCGGTTGAAGAGCGGTAAGACTAAAAGCGACAAACCTAAGGTCCGAAGGCGAAGTCGTACTGCTGGCTGTACAGAGGTGCGACAGCAGTAAGGTGTTTCCTTCAGACAACCAGCATGACAGCGATGCTGCCTTCCCACAAGGAGGGGTGGGGTTAGAAAAGGTCGACCCTAAAAATGCACACCTCGCCTTATCCCACGGATATCCGTCTCCGGCGGTAAGGTCTCAACATGTACGGAGATAACACAAAAATTGCCCATAAGAAGGTCGTGTGTGACCGACCTTAAGCAGTTGTCCCTTGGGCACTGCGGTCACGTTCTCAGGTCACTAAAATCACCTCTAATCCGATTTCCTTTTCAGGGACTTCCAGAAGAACCCTTCCTCGGTGTGGGCAACCGTGGAGTGATAACCGCCCTCATACCTCTAACAGCACTGAAGACCACTGTATTCATAATCAACCTCCGTCTTCACTTCCTATTACTCCTCCTACATCGACTTTCACCTCTAAACTTCCTTTTGTGGCTTCTCCCTCAAATGTCACCATAGCCAACGATTCTAGTGCTCAAAACACTGTCCTAGGTCCACTGAAACCTCGCTCCAAACTACACATTGGAGCCTTCAATGTACACACACTATGTGAAATCGGGCAACAGGCTTCCTTCGCTAAAACCCTAGAATCTTGTACCATTGATGTATGCTGTGTCTCTGAAACACGCATACAGGATCCCAGTGTGGTGATTCACTTGACCTCACCTCGGCAAAATGGAGAGCCAACGAGATACACCCTCCGTGTATCTGGTGACCCGACGGCCAGTTCTCGTGGACTGGAAGGAGTAAGGATAGCACTAAGCATGAGGGCGGAACAAGCACTGTTATGGTGGATCCTAGTTAACAGTCGTTTATGTGCTGTTCGGCTAAACGGCTCTGTAAGAACTCGGAAGGATAGGGACACATGTCGTTGCTTTTCGTCGTTTCTGCCTACGCTCCCACCGACTGCAGCTCAGATGAAATGAAAGATGAATTTTACAGAAAGCTATCCGAACTTCTCCAGAAAGCTAAACGCTCAGACATAGTACTCGTAGCAGGTGACTTTAATGTCCAGATAGGTAGTTTAAACCAAACAGAAAGGTATTTAGGTGGGTATTTTAGTATTCCGGCACAACGAACAGATAATGGTGATCGTCTGCTTCAACTGTGCTCAGACAATCGTTTATTTTTAGCAAAAACAAATTTTAAGCATAAGGAGAGACATCGTCTAACATGGCGACCCCCTACACCAAACCAACGATGGACCATATTGCCATCAGTCATCATTGGAGAGGGTCGTTAGAAGATTATCGCTCATTCTGGAGTACCTACCTGGTGTCCGACCACGCCCTAATACGGGCACGCATCTGCCTGCCCCTCACTGTACGCAAAAACGCCTCAGTAAAAAGACCCATTAGAACTGAATTGAGTAACGAGAAAACCAAAAGTAGGTTCCAGGAACAACTGAGGTCACACTTAGGTAGTTCTGAAAACGAGGTTGACCCAGATGTTGCTTGGAAAGCTATACAAACAGCTGTGGGAACAGCAGTGACATCTATGAGTGATTTAAACCACAGGGTTACAAAGAACCAATGGATTTCCTCTAGGTCTATTGCACTGATGGATTCTCGTAAACTCATCCCATCAGGCTGTGAACACGATGAAGAGCGAAAACAAATCAGATCTAGGTTAAGAAAAAGTCTAAGGAACGACCGTGAGCAGTGGTGGGCAACGAAAGCAAAAGAGATGGAAAAGGCGGTGGCTATAGGGAACACAAGACAGCTCTACAGACTAATAAAAGAAACTGGAACTAATAAGTCAAGTGTAAGTGAGACTTTCGGAAAAAAAAGACACCCTCATCTGCTCTCAGTCCAGACGTTTAGAACGATGGGCGGAACATTTCAGAGAACAGTTCAGCTGGCCTTCAGTTACTCTACAACTACCCTCCATTCCCAGACAGTGTGAATGGGACATTGAAGTAGGTCCCCCAACTCTAGCAGAAGTTGAAAAGGCTATAGTTAATCTGAAACGAGGAAGGACAGCTGGTCCAGATGGATTGGCTCCAGAGGTCTTTAAGAATGATGGTCCAATTTTAGCGATTAGGTTGACTAATATTTTAGCTAAGATCTGGGAGTTAGACGTTATTCCATCTGACTGGGATTAGTATAACTAATATAGTATCTAAAATACTAGCCTCGATAATTATTAGACGCTTAACTAAGACTCGTGAACTGCAAACACGAGAGAATCAAGCTGGCTTCAGACCTGGTCGTGGCTGCATCGACCACATATCCACCATTCGTCAGGTTCTAGAACATAGGCATACTTATCGGGGTCCGACAATGGTGATCTTTCTTGACTTAAAAGCAGCATTTGATTCGGTAGACCGCGAGATTCTGTGGCAGTGTCTGTCATTGAAAGGCGTACCTCAGAAGTACATAAACCTTGTAAAGGCTCTTTACTCGAACACTACCAATCGAGTCAGAGCTTATGGCGAACTGTCATCTGCTTTTGCAACCTCAAGTGGTGTCCGTCAAGGCTGTCCACTTTCTCCATTTCTGTTTAACTTCATCATAGACCTATTGCTGGAAATAGCATTCTCGTCTACTGAATTCTCAGGTATTGATCTCCTTCCAGGAGGTCCACTTATCGACTTAGAATACGCAGATGACATAGTCCTGTTTGGTGAAGACGCTGATAAAATGCAGAGTCTTTTGGTAGCACTGAGCAACAATGCCAGAATGTTTGGAATGCGCTTCTCTCCCTCTAAATGCAAGTTGTTGCTTCAGGACTGGTCTGCGTTAACACCTGAACTGAGGATAGGGAGTAAAGTAGTCGAACGCGTTGACAACTTCACTAATCTTGGAAGTCTGATCAGCCCTAATGGGTTGGTGTCTGACGAAATCTCAGCACGGATTCGAAAAGCTCGTTTGGCTTTTGCCAGCTTGCGTCACCTATGGCGAAGGCGAGATATCGGTCTATCAATAAAAGGACGAGTATACTGCGCGGCAGTCCGTTCTGTTTTACCTTACGGCAGCGAAACATGGCCATTAAGAGTAGAAGACACTCGTAAGCTATTAGTATTTGACCACAGATGCCTTAGAAATATTGCTGGCATCTGCTGGGATTAACGGGTGAGTAATAATGAGGTTCGACGCAGGGTATTAGGGAATGATGGTAAATCAGTTGAAGAGGTTATGAATCTTCATCGACTGAGATGGTTGGGCCACCTGTTACGTATGCCTGAACATCGATTACCACGTCGTGCAATGCTATCCGGTATTGGAAATGGTTGGAAGAAAGTTAGGGGCGGCCAAACCAAAACGTGGCATCAGTGCTTAAAGTCACCAACTTCTAGTCTGAGCCATGTTGTTAGATGCAGACTACTTGGTTGTGGTTCGCGCGACTATCGTAACCAATGGTTGGAGACTCTTGGTGACATGGCTCAGAATCGATCACAATGGCGTTGTTGTATACACTCCCTGTTTTTCCTTAAACTAAGAGATTAAAATCACTTCATATCTTTCTTTCTTCTTGTAATTTATCCTTATTGCAATCGTTCTTTTATGTATTACCACCTCTGAATAAACTACTTTTATGAATCCGGTGTTCATCTTGTTGTGTTAATGAGGTATGGCATCTTGGACCGATGCATAAATGTGCCTGGTCCTACTTTGTAGCTGACTGACTGGTAGAACCATTGGAATATCAACGTGGCATGCTACGACTGGACGATAGCATAATTTGTTCCCTTGCGAGTGGGCTGAATTATAATGGTGTTATGGCCAATATTAATAATTATAGATACCCACGTTTTTCCGTACATTTTTATTCTTACCCAATAATCACTTCCCCGTCTTTTGATTTGCCATTGTGGGGTTCTACAAGTTCAAGTGACATTAGTTGTATATCGTATTCTGCCGTAATCAAGTAGAGGCGTAACAGAAATTAAGAAATGGTTGACACTATATGTTATTTATATCGAAGCAAGTGATTTCAAAATCACTAATTCAAGAAAGGAGTAAGTTATGTAAGTGAAAACTCAATTAGGTGATTTCAGTATTGTTTTTTATCATGGAAAATCTTTCAATAAAACTATAGGAATTGTAGTATTGAAGCTGTTCTGTATCGCTAATCGATAATCACTGATGCTTGCTAACCAAACTATATTAAATGCAATTCACGAATAAAGCTTCTCAATCTAGTGTCTTATGAATGGAATTGAAGACAGTAATAATTTTTCATATTTTCACCTATCATCATTATTTGATACAGAAAAGACTGTCTGATGGAACTTTCTTCGTATACTGTATGTTGTGATGTCATTTTTCGTGTTCAGCATGTTTTACGATTGTCTTTGTTTCATCAATACTATTTTGCTATCTCTTCAATTACTTAGTAGCTGGAAACCTGTAAATCCCTTACGTTCAAAACGCTTCATTAAAGCTATCATTTGTCGTATATTTATTTAAATCAAAAGCTGACAAAGGATAAAAGTTGAAAAAGTGCAGCAAAGTTTTACATGATATTAATCTGTATTTAAATTTACTTGGTCCCCTACAGTTCATCATTCGCTTCTCTTTATTTCAGAACCCAACTAAATCAACTTTGTATAATCTATCATTCTTTACTGTGTCGATTTTATGTACCAACTGATAAATTGTTTGGTCATTATTTTTTATATTTAATGAGACTAATAAAAATGTTATTATTTATCCAAAAGTAAATTTAGGTCTTCATAACATTCAAACCAACAGTCTCCAATAAGTTCGATGAGTCTAATCATGATGGCAGGTATGGGTACATTTGTTAACGAGGTCATCATATCTCTTTAGTCTCCGAATTTCACATTCAGCTTTCGTATCATGAAACTATGTAAGAGATCGTGTATCTATAACAACATTATCTATAAATAACATTTATAAAGTACTGATTAAATTAACTCTCTCTCTTTGTGTTTGTGTGTGTCTTTTAGGAAATACAATTGCAATGATAGAATTCGATGGACATCTGTTTATTTCCCTTATCTATATCATCAAGCCCTACGTGGTCTGTCAATGATCGTGGATGGATTTTTGGGTATTCAGCCAAGTCTTACAGTTGGTATTGATCCATTTGTTGGTGTAATTCCAGAACTTTATGGTCCTATCGGTCGATTATTTCAAAGTTACCCTTCATTTCATAAGTACACAGATACACAAAGCGTGAACAATGATGATGGTAACTTATTGATTGAAATCTTTTTGTAAAATATGTAATATGATATATGTAAAAATCTGTGGTTATAAATGGTCTAAATCTATGAAGTGTGTGTTCTATGTATAATTTTATTAGTTAGACTGACATTTATATAATTTATAAACTATTATACTCTACAGTATGAAATGCTTTACGGAGATGATATATCGTATATCATGTACGTGCCATCCATTTCTCTTACCTATATATTAGTTTTGAACGGATTGTCTAGTAATCTTATTTATAATAATAAATTCAACTTCTCTTTGATCAGTCAATTTATTTACCAGTTGTTGGAATTTGTTACAATTTTGTTCATGACTTCTTTGTAACAGTGCATCGATTCATTGGTCAAGGCACTTGGCTATCAACGATTAAGTTACTAATTAGGATTGTCTCAGATAGTATCATTAGCCCTTAAACAAGAAAATTCTACTCAATATCAAGTGAATGAACACATTTAGTTACTGAGGTCCAAATAGAAATTGTAATGAAGAAACCTCGTTACTCTCACTTTAAAAAATACTCTGGAATTAGTTGTTATGTCGTTACACTTTCCTGTATTACAAACATATTTATTTATATAATTTTCTTTAAAACGATTATGAATAACACCCGGTTAACATAAGTGCTGATTATTTTCTCTATGTTATGCACATCAGAAGTGAGGAAAGCCCTTATGACGGGTTTTTCAAATATTCAAGGTGGAACACGATTGGCTGCTGGTAGTTTTTCTACAGAAAAAGCAACTAGTAAGTAATTGTTTCTATTTTTAAAATGTTTTATTAACTAAAGTATTTTCCTTAAGTCACATGCATTCTAAACAAAGGTGGATAGTGGTTAGCAATGAAATCCAGGACGCGCGTTTCGTTTTATTTGGGACTCGTCAACTGGATGTACCTGCATCCCAGAGTTGATGTTCTCTCTAGGACTCGAACCCAGTACCGTTCACTTCAGACTCCATCGCGTTACCACTTAGCCGGTCCCAAAAAGGACGAAACGCGCGTCCTGGATTTCAATCCTAGCCACTATCCATCCTTGCTTATAATGCTAGTAAATTAAGGCAATATCGAGGCAATCCGCACAGGATGTACATATGCCAATAAGAGACTGATCAATCGCAGTCCTAAACATCAATGGGAAGATTCAAACAAACAATCAAAAATGAATTGAAGTATTTTCCGTTTTCTTAAGGACACTTTAGTGTATGTTCTGCGATATTGTTTTTTCCAGAATCGATTTAAAGAGTGTACTTCAATTCATGTAATCATTCTTCATATGTTTAGTGTTTTAATCCCATCAAATTCCTATGAAAACTGTAGGGTTTTTAATGTTCTGGTAAATTTTGGCGAATACACTTATTTCTAAGATTTGCGTGTATAACTCGTTTTAAGTAAAGGTCTTTCAATCGTTGTTATCACACATTCATTGATTAGAACGACAATTTCTAATCCTTTCTTATTCACGAACTTCAAATGAAAGTTTTGTAAAATTAACATCCTGAATTTGGCATTTGTCTAGCATTTTATGTCTTTCTTCTGTTTTGTATACAGTTAGAATCGACTAACTGATAGTACTCTCTTTGTTTATTTAGTCCATTTTCAGAAGTGTGGAAATAAAATTATTGTATGAAGTATGTCCTTATGTAGCGTCACTAATAATTGTCTGTAGTAGAATTTGTACCGTTCGACGTGTTTCATTGGCAATAGGAATTACATTTAGCCTATTACTGATCCAACAGTTGATTAAATCCATTTAGAAGTCTTGTTGAAAGTATTTATAAATCATTTTTTACTTACGCTCACTGTAGTTAGTAGTTCACTTCCCTGTCAATACTAAAAATTTAGACAATTATTATAGAAATTTGTGATTGATAAATTCCCAGAGCGATTGTCTCCAGCAATGGCCTGCTGAATTTGAGCAATAATTTTATTGTTTTTTACGTTTACTTTACGTTTGAATGACAAGTGACAACTCACCAAAGTTGAAAATTTAACAGTATTTGAAAATTAGCAGGTAATAATTCCTTAAAGATTAATTTGATAAAACTTCAACGATTCCCATCTATGATTATCGGTTTAGCTTACTGAGATTCTATTAACTGCTTCAAATAGGAGCTGATAAGTAATCATTCGAGTTATAAAAAAAAGTAAAGAAGCGAAAATCCCTCTGTAAAATATAAAGTACAATATATTTTTGGACAATTATTTGAGTTCACATAAAATAAAGCTGAAAAAACTAGATAGATTTAATATTTATTCGGAAGTATCTGAATCATTTATGCACACTTAGGTATATGGTAGATAAGATAAAGAGTAACAGGTTTTTTAAAGGTTCATTGGCTTAATGGTTAGTACATTAGACTTTAGATTGTTGGTTCGAAGATTGATACCGTGTTTTAATTATTTTGATTCACACTAAAGTCGATAGAATGCTAGTAGAATCACTAATTCATATAAATTAAGTTTGACTGAAGGCTGAGTACATCAATCTCTACTCGATTGCTGACTATTATAAGTCAGTTTACTAATATAACTGTATACTCTTTTCTAAGTTATGTTGCTCTTTACATTCTCTGTCACAATACGCTTAAAGTGATTTTTCAAACTATTGCATTGATATTCCTACCTAGGAAAATCTAGATTAGCAAGCGTCGTCACGTCTGCTGGTATTCTTGCTTCCGCTGGAACTTCTGGAGGTTCGAAATCTGGGTTGGCTCCATTTAATAGTACTTCAGTACATATTCCTCATACCAATAGTAGTTCGTTAACTCCTATTGAAATTAATGCTTCTTTGACAAATGCTTTTCAACAGTCACAAACTCCTAGTTCACAAGCATCTTTGCAGTTATCAAATGCTTCAACAAGTGGACAGTCAGTTAATCAAAAATTAGGAAATATTCCCCCTATATTGTCTTTAGTTAATAGAAATCTACAGGTCGACCATTTACAGAATTTAGCTACAAATTGGTTATCAACCTATTCTCAAATTATCTTAAATCCTCAAAGACCAGAAATAAACTCATTGTTACAACTATTTGGTGCTTGGCTTTTTGAAGCATCAGTATCAGGAGTTAAACAAGATTTAAGTGGTAAGTAAATCAGTTTCCAGTAATTCACCTCTTTTTTCTGTCTTATTTTATGGTTGTTGACTAAATTAGGATAATGTTGAACATTGATCTCTTAACCCAAAATGTACATTTGATGCCGATGTTTATTACGCCATTCGAATATCTCTCAGCATTTTCAATCATTTCTAGATTATATAATAATTATTATTGTTTTCATAATAATAATATTAATAATAATACCGTCAAAAATTAATGAAATTCAACTTAGGCTTAATATCCAATATTTTTGTCATGTTCATCAGTTCTCAAACTGATTTCACTCTACTAAATAATCGATCTCCTCTAAAATATATTCAGTTAGTATATGTGATGCCTAAATTTTTTCATCAGTTTTTCTACTACTTATATTTATGATAGTACTTATTTTAATTATGTTTGTGTTCTCATATATTACAGCAGATTTTTTATACTCGTTAATTTATACATTTATATTTCTTAGAATAATTTCATTTAGATATTTTACTTATTACGTTCATGGTAACGTTCTTTTCTAAAGGAAATACCAATTTTCATCTATTCATCCAAAATAATTTTGTTAGAGATATATTTCTAAAAAAGGTCCAATATAGTCGACTTCTGTATTAATAGGACTTTTTTTTACTGAAATTACGACTATTGAAGACCTGGAGAAACTGAATAGCCATTTCGTTGTAGTATGCGACTCTTTAGTAATGCGCATCTACGACCCCGTAAACAAGAATCGAACCTTCAGTCTCACTTTTGTTATTTTTAGTTTACTATTGGTAATGCTCACGATGACATTCGATTAAACCTTTCCATTATTTACATTCTTTTATCACCTCTACATGTCTAGAAAAAATACTTGTCTATTCAGCAAACTAATACTTTTACTAATGTTAATCATTAATTAATCGAATCCAGTTTGAATAGTGTATATCTTTTCTAACTTAACCCGTTGTCGCAAAATTCAAATGTTTTAAAAATAGACATCATGCAGCAGTATCAGGTACTTCCCATACTGTTACCTCCAAAGGAAAATCGTTGACAAAAGTTGACGGATACATCGTAGTTGGGCAGATCTGGTTATCCCCTTAATGGATTTGAAGTCTATTCTTTATTTTCTTCTGAATCTTGAGTTTTAATACTTTTTTATATTTCTTATTTCTTAATTTCATTTGTTCTTTTTACATTATAGTCTCTTATTTTAACTGTTATTGATACTTCAGTTACTTTAACATCTTTGCTTTCTTATCTCTTGTAATAACATGTGGAGCACTTTGGATCAGAATATATTTGTATCAGGTCATAAGTTGTATATCAACTACTTTCTAAATAAACGTAGAATAGGTTCAGAATTACATTATATTTAAGAATTGTAAGGGGATTTCCAATAAATGAATCTGAATAATTGTGTTCAATTTTGTGCTCTGTTACTTGGCTTCATATTTCTGTAAATTACAAAGCCTAACCTAATTGAACAATATGCCAAAGATATTGAGGCTAGTTACATGTAATGTTTCCACTTATTCAACCATCGACAATCTGATTCTGCAAATAAAAGGTGAAACATATTGAGTTGATACTGCAATATGCTAATTTTTGGCAAATATTCAGATAGCTTTGATAGCTCTTAAGTTGGTGATCTATCGATCAGTAGTGAAGATTTAATGTATCAAGTGAACACGTGTTACCAAGTCCGATAAGTGTTCAAACGTTACAGGCTTCAAAAAATAAGCATCTTGGAGGTGGATATCTCACTCGTCAACTATACTTGAAATCTTCCTATTATTATTGGTCTTATTGCTTCTTTATACTAGTTAAATATAGAGTTATTATGTATGGAAATTAATCTTGGAGTAGCAGTCACACCGTTTATATCTGATATAATGGGTGGTTTAAAATATTTCTCTCTCTGGTATGCAGCAATATTATGTCGATACGATAATGAGACTTATCACGTTATATCAGATCCTGGATTCACGACTCACAATAACGAAGCAGATTAACACTAGATAGTATTTTATTCATCACAGTTACGAGCAGTCACTTTCGATGGGCTCAGGATAGAAATCAATGGGAAAAAAGAAAATCACATATTAAATAGTCGGTGGTATCTGTCTGCTTGTTCACGCTCAACGACCGATCATATTTTACTTTCACTATCACTTATCAGTGCCATTTTGGTGTTCTGTACCAGGATTAAACTTTTAAGAGTTGATCATCATGTTAGAAGTAACTCTACTAGTCTCTATAACCACGTAGCATTTCTGTTTCGTCGTACACTTGGACACCAGAATTCCCTACATCTTTCAGTCAACTGTAGAAAATTGTGGAAATTGTTGAATTTTTAAAGTTTTACATTTATTTTTTTCGGATTGTTTCTTGTTTGTTCGCATTACTCTTATTTGTCTCATCGGTGTTTGCCATCATAAACTTAATCATGCCAATGTTCCTCATAATTAAGGAATTTCTTTTATGCTATTGTACAGTAGATTTTTGTACGAAACAACCTATTCTACTACTTTGCTTATTTGTAGATTATGACTGTAAGTTTATTTTGTGTGTTTTTCCCATGTATTAAGTTTCACGTATGTTAACTTTTCCTTTCTTTATGTGAAGACCACTTGTCTTTGGTTAATTCTTTCTAATAAAAGAACAAATGGCCAAAATCTTGTGTTTTTTAAAATTGTATCTAGGAGGATATGCTACTAGTGATATTGGTTTATTTAGGTTGAATTTTTTATTGCTTTTAAGATTTAAGCACATTATCTGGAGGAAATTTGCTAATTATTTATTATTCTGTGTACTAGGAGGTATACCATATTCGTTGTTCATACTGATATAGAATGCAGCACGAATGATAGTTCTTTTTAGTCCCATAGAGTTGAGTATCAAATGCGTAAACCACTTTACTTCAATCGTCATCCTCTTTATTTTCATGATGAAGTGAAATATTCCAAATTTTTTAGCAAGATAAATTTGAACAATGTTTCTGTAGAGTTGTTTATTGTTCTCTCATTTTATGACAGGTATTTTTCTGCCTGTGCATGGTAAATCAGTATTCGTCATAATTTCAATTTTGTTTACTCACTCACCACTCTCGCGTTTTTTTTCTCTTAAAAAAACTTAGTGCGTTAACTTCGTTAGCTGATAACTGTTTCAATCACCAATTTCTTGGTGTTAGATAATGTCGTTTCTTTTTCGTCAACTAAATATATACGTCTGTACTTTATGACGTAACTGACAGTTATAAAATTGTAGAGTTCAATCACTGATAAGTTTATGTTATTACTTTGCTTTAATGCATCAATAATTAAATTATCTACACGAGAATTAGTTTATGAATTGTTATGTCTTCTAAAGTGAATGATAAGTCATTGAAGAGCTGAGTCTCCCTTAAATCCTATTGATCATTATCAATATTAGTAGGATGAAGATAGAAAAATACGGCTTGTTTAAATTATTCACTAATTAGTGAATAAGAAACGTAATTAATAATTTGCTTTGACGGATCAATTATTTGTGCTCATTAATTATTTGGTAGTAATTAGTTTCATGTTGTCTAATGCCTATTTTTGATCGAATTCTCTCAGTTAAGTCACAATATGACCTTATATCAGTCTAAATGACTCAGCATTACGGTTTACTTTCTTTGAAGTTAGGGAAGATTCTGTTAACAGTCAGTGGGTCATAGATGATCCTGGTTACATCTTATTTGGCAATTGTCAGTAAGTAGTATTTGTAATACCTAAGATTCTGACATTCCCCTTTGTGACTAGAACTTATATCGCACTGTATCGTAATCAGACGATATCATTGAGATATTGCAAAATGTTTTTATAAATACCATATAATACTAAATATTCTGATATGAGGCGTCAAAGCTACAACCTTAGTTTGCAAGTTGTTTAGCAAATAATACTTAAATAACATTTTGCTGTAGGCTTTTTCTTTTCAAATTATCCCAATAATAATATGATTCCTGACTATTCACATTTATTGTTAAAATACTACTACTACTGCAGTCGTTAATTAAATTAATATAACCTGAAATATACTGAGAAGGAATTGTCTTTGTATGTGTTTTACAGATAGAAATCAGACAGGACTAAGTTTACGGAAATTTCCGTTCATTGTTTCTGACAGTATCAGTGTTATTTTTAAATAATTGATCATATATCGTCTTGTGTTCAACAACCTTGAGCATGTTTCAATTATAGAACCTAAATATATAGTTTACCGATCTAGGAAAGTTTGGTTTTTAACCATCAATATTCATCACGATGATTTATGGAATCAATTGTTTAAAAATTATAGTTTTGGTAGATATTCCCGGTAGAATTTTAAAGTATACTCTGTTCATATTGGACAAGTAACCATTTGGAGGATAGATTTTTTAATGTTCGGTCATACTTGTATACGTTTGACCTACTCTTGTATAATAATTCACCTATAAATTGTGTATTAAATTATACGAACATAACTAATATCCTGGTTGAATTGTGAAAAAGCTGGTGGATTGAATTAGACTGTTCGGTGTTACCAGTATATTTATCCTGTTGTGATTTTTTAAACAATTTACTTCGCAACAATTATGTATAGATATAATGAAAATTATATATCATTTGAGCTGTTGATGTGCAATTCGAGTTATCTTGTAATAATTAGAGTAACCCATTGTGTAATTGCGACGAAATTATTTACTTAAGCTGTACATTCGTATTTATAGTTGTATGATGAATAAATGTTTATAAAAGGATAGAAAAGATTGCATCATATAGTGATTCGATACATCAAATACCGAATAGGGTTACGTGATAATCAGAGAGTTAGATAAGAATAGAAGAATGCAAGTAATTAACAGGTCAGAATTTTGAAATGTAATATTCCACTTAACAGATATGAAGAAAAATGAAAAAAACATAAAGGTCATAATAACAATTAAATAATCGTCAGGATAAACCCCATTTTATATCTTAAATCTCGAATCCCTTTATGATGCAATCTTCTCTTTGTCTTACGTAAAACATTAAACTGACTGTGTACTAAGGAAAATTGTTTCACACCTTTCCCCGTGCTCTCCCCAAATCTGTCGTTTAATAATATCTATAGTTCTAGAAAGGATTTCACTGGGTATTATTGTTTTATTATTGATATGAAGACCAATACCTTGTGTGATAACTAACATTATGATAATAGTGAACTCGAGTAATCACACTTGCTAATTCAGTTTCATGCTGGTTAGTGGAGAGTTATCACACTAACACTGTAATTTCATTGAATTATGTATTGGTATGAAGCAGTTGAAGAAAATAAATTATTATGCACTAGTGTAATGATTTCCAGAAAATCTTTAACAAAATGTTTTTCATAAAAATAATAATGATTCCACATACAATCAAAAGTAAATGTTTCCCATGGAATTCTATTAATCAGATCTCACATGGAAATAATGATTTACAACCAATTAAATAATTATTTTAGCAGAAAGAAAGTTTGACCGTGGAAGAGTTGAGGATGTATTCTAATAACACTTAAACTAATCAGTATTTGTTTAATATAATTGGTTATATCCTCAACATTTATCCTTAGATGTATCAAAAATACTACAATCGGTTTAATGTCAGTCATTTACATCGTATGTTTACATATATACAAATTTCGATTTTCTCCCATTCATCTTGCTAAATAGTTTACTATATGTTACGTTTATTATGTTGACTTTGCCTTATGTTATATAAAGACGGGTTCTTTACAATGCAGCTGGTATCTTAGCTTGGGTTTTTGTGTGTGTATTTACAGCTAACCGTTTTTTTGGTAACTAACTAACTTACAAAGATTTCTGTTCAAAAATTGTGGATTTATTGTTGTTGGTAAGAATTTTCTTATTCAATCTGTCCTATTGAAGTATTGAATTTCATATCCTGTTGAATGTTTGCAAAAAATCCTATCAAAAGTAACTATTGATGTCACCTTATGATTTCACAGTAAACTGTTTCCCGAAGACATATTCGTGGTAATTTTATGGTACATCCCAGGATATATATAGAGAGAGAGGGGGGGGGAAAGTCTGTCTCAAGTGAAAAACTAAAAATTTTCTATATGCGTTTCGCAACTTTGCTCATTTCGGAAGATAGGTCACTACTGGTCGCTAATGGAATTTTAGCTGAAATGTATAAGACAATTTGGTATTTGTCAGTTTTAGCTTACCAAACAGCTTATAAACTATCGTGTACCACTTTATATGTGTTGAACATATATTGAAAGTTGTGAACAATAAGAGTAAATCAAACTATATGGCTGTTAACTTTCACTGACTGAAGCAGCTCGGTCGTATATATCTCCCGTCAAGTCATCGTCTACTTTTACTTGCGATGCTCACTAAACTGAGCTAATGGCGAACTGTTTGTCTAAATTACCCAAATAAATCAAGACTTATAGGATGTTTTCATGATAAACCAGTGATAAGTGGCATGTTTAGTATAATCGAAAATCAGTGACGACGTTTGGATTGAATCAACTCTATTCTGTACTCTATGTCAAGCCTTTTACGATTATTTTATATTCCTTTCTAAGCCCGTATTTGACCACGTCTAGTGTAATATCTTTCCATTTTGATTAATTTCTATCTTGATGTACTGCTGTAAGGTTTTAAAAATGGCTGCTGTTTATCTTTGTACAGCATTGTATGTTGCTGTCTTTGCCTCCTTCTATGATGTTTTACTTCCTGTACAAGCGCTTTATTAGTTTCGGTTTAACAGCATTTACTTTCACTTTCATTGTTGTTGTTACCGTCGTCACTTACTAGTTTATTTAGTGTTTTTATAATTATTCATATCTTCTTTATCTATAAAAATACTTGGGTTTATTTTTAACAGTTTATTTCAAAAGGCTCTCAATGAAATGTTATAAAGTCGTCAGGCTGTTTACTATTGTTTTGTTACGGTTGTAGTTGAGTCAGTTATCTTATTCCAACCAAGATTCAGTTAGGCATTTGAACAGAGAGAGGAAGTATTTTTCACTTCTTTCGTTATTTCCTAAAATAAGTTGATTAACTTTCGTTTCATATGATATGTTAATGTATTATGTCACTTCTAAGGTACTCAGTTTTATTTCTCCTTATTATTGAACTATTTTTTCTTCCAGTTACTGTGATCAGTCATCGAGCTACATTAATTGATAGTAATCGTTTTCTAGTTGGTCGTGCTGAAGCCCTTGGAACACTATGTCGAATAATGATCTACGCTCAACGTGGTCGTTTAGCAGAGGAATATCTTACACGATTTTATTTATGTCTTTATTATGCATTGGTTGTTGATCCAACGGTTAGTTTATGATATGAATCAAAATAACATCTTAAGAATAATAAGAATAATGCTATGCATAAAAATTGTTTATTTATCATATGCTACTCAGTTGTACTAACTTGATAGTAATGTAATTAATTTATATTAGATAGGTTTATGATCATGAAATTTTTAAGAACGGTAACTTATTCTTCTATGAATTTCATGTTTATTGACAATTTAAGACTTTTATAGTTAGCGTCTATATTAGAAATAGATAAAAATTTTAAAATTAGACTGATATTTTTATATGGGAATAGTTGAACATTTGAGATTCACTGGTTTGATCTTAGGTTCAACTTATGAGGAGTGACTGTAGTGTAAGATTATACTTATGGTATTTTATAAAATTAAAGAATTTAGACTATCTTTTTTGCTTGTTGAACTAAACATGGATATCTGTATAACCTTAAAGTTTTATTTAAGTCAAGAGTGTATACTGCTAATTTCTAGTCAGTTTCAAATTGATTTCAGCCCACAGTGAAAACAGTCTTCATATTATTGAATATAAGTAATGAACGAAAATATTAAAATTTAGCATAGATAGTATCAATAATAGTAATAATAATAAATGAATAAATAAATAACAGTATTTGAGTAGAAATAAATCGGTAAAACTTACATTTGTATGTATGATTTCGAGGCAGTTTTTATTGAATGAACAATGGTGTTTCTGTTCTGGACTGATTTAACTGGGAAATTGCTAATCAGTTCATCATTCGAACCGTTTTCTTATCTTAAATAAATTTAAATTATCCACACTATCGTCGCCTTCGTTTATATTCTTAAACGTCATGCTCTTTATTTGTTAGTCGAATGCAAATAGGTGTTGTGGTATATATATATATATTAACTACATTGTAGGAGCATCCACTTCAAATTAAAGAAAATCTATTTGGAGTAATTTTTGCACATACAATATTTTACGTAAATGTATCTACTATTTGAGCATGTGCTTAATTAATTAATACTTGTACCACATGATAGTCATCTATAAATTCTCTGTGAATGTAAACCATAGTTATCCACAATTACATACATATATTCTCGTAAGTATTATTATTATTTGGTAATGAGATACATTTTAGTGGTGCTCACGAAAATATACACATATATTTCAAGCTTATTTACAAATATGTCAGTGTATATTATATTGCATGTATTTGTATTCATAAGAATTGAATTCAACTAACCATTTGTCTTTATTGTTACTATTTTAATCAATGAAATAATTGTAGAATTTTTCAATTTTATTAATTTTTTACTATAGGAACATCATAAAGAAACACTACTTTTTTCTCTCTTTGTTACCCATCTTATTTTCTTACTTGATTTCAGGTTAAAAATGATTATATTTTATGTTTAGTGTTATTCTATTCAATTGATTTACTTCGTGTTGATTTACCCGGTATCAATATCTTGATACCACGTATATATGGTGCTTGTCAGCATGTTTTAAAAGAAGAAATTAACATGTAAGTTGTTATTCCTTATCCCGTGATTGTTGAAAGAAAATTATCTTTTTCATTAAGATATTATTATCATTGTGATAAAAAGAAGTCCATTCGTTGATGAGTATTGATAACGTGGAACATTTGAGCCTTACATTAAGGTGTAGTTGAGATTTATTTATTTATTTTCTATTTGACTGACGAACTGTGCTTTCATATTTTGTTATTTAATGTTAGTTGATTTATTGTGACAAAAGACTCATAAATACATACTCATATTTATCGTCGGACATTTTTTTGTTTGACAATCATGTACATGTTTGCACGCGAGACCGAAGGTCCCAGGTTCGAAACCCGCGTTTGGGATTGTGGATGTGCACTGCTGAAGATTCCCATACTAGGACGAAACAGCCGTCTGGTGCTTTGATGTTTTCAATCGTGGTCTAGCTTAGATTGACTCATGTATTCAACTATTAAGATTACTACAATCTCCACAAATCTCCATTCTGATAATTATGTACATATTGGTTAATAAAACTGAATGTTGTTGTTTTTCCTGTGAATAAAATTAAGATCCCTGTTCGAAGTAATGTAGTAATTTTTTATATTACAATTTGATGTTAGCTAAAGTATTTTGAGATTTTCACAATATCATTAGATATCAGCTAAGTTAGAATTTTTAGTGGTAACGTGAACATTCTAATCGAAGTTAATATCAATAAGCATGTGATTCTATGTTTCAAATTAGAAGTTTCTGAAAAACAATAAATGTTCATTACTTATTTCTATGAACTCACACATATCATTTATCTAAAGTTAACAATAAATTTAATACAACTGAATTTAGTTATGCTATGAGTTTTCATTTAGTTGACAATAATTTTTTTTGGTATATGCGTTTTTTTTAGCTGAGAATGCAGTTCTATGGTATACTATATTCATTTCACTGGTTCTTTGTTGCCATCACCTGTGTCAGTATTTTTTTTGCTTAACGAAGCTTTAATCGATTACTTATCTGTTGCAGTACTATTTCCATTTTTTATACAAGTATTTCTAAAGCTGATATGGTTAGATTAACATACAACAACTCATAAACTTATTCATTTTAATTCTGAACAGGATTAGTTATAACTTGAATAGATCAGCTATCTGTACTACTAAAAGGCAAAACCAAAAAGATAGTTACGTCTCATTGATAATTGTTGATAAACATGAGAGTGGTATTTAGGTTTTTTCGCAGTGATTACCTCTATACGTAAAGAAGATTATATTATACGGGTTTTGTTAGCTACATTTCATTTGTTAATCGACAGGATTCACTTAAACAAATAAAGCATTACTTACATGTAATTATTCCGGTTTCATAGCACTCATTTTATTATCAGTCTTTTATTGTAAGAGTATTTTTGTAGAACAATTTAGAATTTTCTGTTTTTTCAATAGTTTGAAAAACGAAAAAGTAGAAATTTTGCTTTAACGTCATAGCGTTAGTCCTGACAAGTTAAGGCTCTGTAATTTATTTGATCACCATTATATAAGTATCGTTTATTTATTGAATCTGACAAATTACTGATTATTTTACTGCATTAACTTTTGTTTTCAATTTCACCATTAGTCATAATGTGTTCTCATGTAAATACTACCTTTTTTGTTCTAGGAAACCTGAATTTTTATCGCCAACCTTGGTTCAACGTGCAGCTATACATCAGCTTATGTCAATGGTATGTATTCCTATTCAATTTAAAGGCGCACATCTAAAACGTAAGTAGATAGTGAGACGATTATAATTTCAAATTATAATAAACTTGATATCTTTTTGTCGAGGTATAAATAACATTTTAAATACCTTGATCTTACAATAGTATATTTAGTCTGATCAATCAGTTGTGAAGCACATCCTTACGGAAGTTATTTTTGTTGTTATGCTGAAATCACTTATTCAGTGTGTAGTGTTATTTATCGTATAAGTGTGCGAACATTCACGATATTGATCGTGTTTCCCAAAAACAACAGTTGATTTAGAAGTGTATTGATTTTTTAAGCTTTGATATAGATTCTGAGTGTTGATAATCAACAATTTCATTAGATCACGTATTCTCGATTTGGTGTATTTTATTTTTATTGGGACCACTAAGTTATGTTATTACTTTGCATTATTTATAGTTTATACGGGTAAATTTAGTTAAACATTCAGTGGTTTGTTGAATATATATATGATAGTTGTTGTTTGACTATTTACTTGTATTGTCGAGCATTCACCGTACTTGTTGCAACACTTATTTCTTGAATCATGCACACTACAAATGTTAGTAGGGTTCTGTCAAACTAATGATTACAACTTTTTGTGGTGTACTATTCAATGTAATTTTAGCCACACTGTCCAGAAGGGGAAATAGTATTATTGCCTCTAGATTATTCCAATGTAGTGTTCCAATTTATTGATTCATACTTTCATATTGATAGATATAATCACATTGATATTTTAAAGTAAAAGATATCACCTTTGTGTTTATTTGATTTGGCTTTCAAATGACTATAAATCATATATTTCCTGCTTCACCCCTAATTGTGTTGTGAATTACATTCATATAGTCAATCTTTCCCTCCGAATATTGTTTTGTATTCTAGCCAGAATTTATAAACTTATGTGTAGTTTAAACTAAAAACTAATAGGAATCGTCAAAATCCAAATTATGTTGCTACTTTTAATAGGAATCAAGTAGGTAAAAGAAGCACTCAGTAGCCGGGTCTATTATTGAACATTTAGTAAACCTTTTATTATCATGACTTGGAAATATAGTTGAGCTAATAAAATATTATCTGAACTTTACTATGTTACTTCAATATTACCCATAACTACTTGATTCCGAAGAATCTATTCAAAAGAATATTGTCCTGTCTAGTAAATACGTCCACTCACAATTAATTGACTATTTCTAAAATCAGATACATTTTTCTGTGTCTTACCAAATTTGTTTACAGTGATTTATAAGTTATCGAGTATGTTTTCATCTGTAACAAACTCAGCTTTGAGCTGTACATTTTATACATGGGATAAAGAATACTATCTAGCTATCCAAAACAGAATAGATGATATGTCTTCTGAACATTACTATTTATTGTTATTGAGTATCCGGTGATTTAACTAATATGTCATCACTTTAGTGTTCGCTTTTTTCACTGAGATATTTACCTATAAATACCAACTTTCTGGATAACTCATACTGTAATTTGATGAGTTAGAAGAAGTTATACTAAATCATAAAACTCATATTTCTAATTAATTACATGAGTAACTTTATCCGTATATAATTTTATCTGGCTTTTTATTCAGTATTAATAAGGATTTTGAAATTTTCCGTTATTGATATTCAAAACTGAAGTTGTTTAGTCTCTGTCGCTGTATGTGTATCCTGAGCGGATTGCTTTAATATTGTGTTGTGTCACACGTATATTTCGTTTGTGGCCAGCACCAGGTTCACATACGCCAACAGAAACTGATCAATTAAAGTCTTACATCAATAACAGGTAGTTACAAACTCTCACTAATAACCTTCATACTCATTAAACAAGTTAGTAACTATCTGAACCCATTAGCTCAGTGGATGTCCAATTGGTCATTTGAACTAAAAGTTTCCTAGGTTTAAGTTTTAGCGTAAACGATACAAATACATCAAGCCGATGAATTGATAAGCGTATCCTGGATTCCACTATTAACCACATACCAAATATATTGGAATTGATTTAGTTTTATTGCCTAATCATTAATCATCTTCTATCAGAAATATCTCACTTTTTAATACTTAAATCATTCCATAGAAACATTTAATATAGAAATTCATAATGTTCATTTAAAATGTTCTTCTTCATTTTTTTTCTCACCATATTATGATTACTGCAAAACAAAAAAATAACCACATATACTAAATAATGATATTCATCTATTATCCGGTGATTGTTTTGTACTACATAAAACTAAAACAAAATTAACACGCATTTCATGTTGTGTATAAACTTTTAATAAGAGATCCTCATGTAAATATTGGACATTGAAGAAATTTGTGTATGAAATTGTTAAAATACATTTTGTTACATCATTGAATATATTTTCATCATATGGTTTCTTTACAACCCCTTAATCATGATACTTGTTTTGTAACTTATTTTCCAAGAAGTTTAATTATCATACCTTTTTTTTAATTAATATCTTTATTCATCTTTCTCATTGTTATTAATTGCTGTTTCTTTAAGCTTTGATTCCTTTGATGTCTAATGAGGATAATCCATGTTCATTGAATGATATAAAAAATATGATGGTTAATATTTTATGTGATACGTTGAGTAGTACAGAAGATCCGGTAAATTTTCAATTGTTATTAAGTGAGTATTATCTTTTTGTTATTTCAAATAAGATTCCATTGTCGTCATTAATGCTTCTCTTTAATGTATGTCTTATATTTAGTTCTCTATTGGCGATGATAATATAGTTTACATTATAGACTGATCTTAAGCAATTGTTCAAAATCAGGAGGCATTGGACAATTATTTCGTCTTAGTGTATGGCTCAGTAGCAGTGCTCATTCACTATCCTATCGGTGATTGGAGCTAGGAACTTTCGGTTCCGTGAGGAGCTCTTAGCCTTTAAGCTACTGAAAGTTCAGGGTTAGATTTCCAATAGGATCGTGGGTGATTTCTGCTGATAATCCACATACTAGGTCCAAACAGCTATCCAACAGTTCTTGATTATGAAAGGTTATCTTAGTAAGGTTAACCGTGATGTAAATTATGACATTCAACGTGCTCCATAAACCCCTATACCGACAATTAAGTGCTTTATACAATATTATAAAGTTTTACAATAGGGGATACTCAGCACCAATTATGCACTGTTACAACAAGTTTCTCTTAGACCTGCTTACAAACTGTATTTCACAAATATTTTTTCAACAGTCAGTATTTGCCACTCAACCACCAGGTCAATATTTCAGATGCTGGTTGGAGGTAGTCAAAGGAAAACCTGGACCTGTGTTTCGTGCTACTTGGCACTCGTCAGTGAGGTGTACCTATAATCTCGGGTGAACTGAATCGATCCCGTGTCACCCAGCTTCACAGTCAGAGATGTTACCACTGGCTATCCGGGCCGCGACTGACCTCCCATAGGACTGAGATGCATTTACAAATGATTGACCGTTGGGTGGTGATTAATGTCATGTGTGTCAGGTCCTTCTTAGTGCAGATCGAATCCTATCAACCAAGTTATTAATATTTTCTTGATTCATCGTATGAATTCCAATGTAATTGCCTTTCGTTTCTTCAAAGGTTAGGGTAAAAAGGAAATATGCCATGGAGTGAGTTGTTTCCATCTGAATTTTCCAATATTGAGCACAGAATTAAAGTTGTAAGCTTCCTGTAAAAGCGCGTGAATGTATGCAGTTGATTTTCATAATTATTTGCAGTGAAAAGAAATTTAAAACAAGAATACTTTTTCAGTCAGTCAGTCAGCTACAACGTAGGACCAGGCACATATGTGAATATCCCAAATTTCTTAGCAGGTTACCATACTTCTCATCTTGTCAGTCTTTCTCTCTTTGTACTGATTTGGTGTATAGCCACTTGAACTGATGCACATTCATGCCAAGTGGTCATACATTGGCTATGATCGATTGATTTGATCATTGTTTACTGTCTATTATAAGAACATTCATGCATCTCGGTAATTTTTGGAGATGTCTGTAGATGGTCTTGTTCGCACATCGGGTTTATTAAGGAATTTCTTCCATATATAAATATCTTGCTTTTACCAAGAGCTTATTACCCGATATCGTTAAGTATGGGATAAAGACAATTATACACTAATGACATCTTATTAATAATTATTTAGCCTTTTGTTTTTATAGAAAATATATTTTATTATTTCATATTACCAATTGTTTGTTCGGCTACTTTCACCAGCTGTTCATATCTCTATAACTTGATTAAATCTATTTAGTTACATTGCATTGTTATTTATTAGAATCATGAAATGGAATACAAAATCCATATAAATAGTTAGACAAAATATCTAATTCATAAGATATTTTCAAACTACATAAAGAATGTAAAATAGAGCAACTAAACGCCGTAATAACTGGACTCTTGAAAAACGCCTGTATCGTTTTTAAATGTCTCCCTTCTATCAGTACTTAAATTATCATTCAGTTTCACTTATTTTTAAGTTTTATGAACGCTGTTGCCAACACTCACTGTAGTTTCTATATTTCCATTATATATATGTATCAAAACCAAATCATAAATCGCAATAATTTTCATTTTTAACTATCGATTAGGTGTGGCGTTGGCTTTAATTGAAGACATGTCAGCTGATGAGATGCAGTCATCTAATATTCGAACCGACCCTGGCAAATCTCGTAAGGATTTTTAAGCTTATGTTACTTTTTTTCTACGTTTTTAAACAGACATTCTTGTTTAATTACTCTTCGTGTTTGTGGTTGGGTCATGTTGATGAAATTGTGTCAGTTATCTGCAGACTGTTTTAATAATATATATCACCAGCGCGTAATTGCGCATTCTGTCCAGGAAATTTCGCTCCCTGATTTTGAATTAATGTTATTTTGACAGTCTGTTCAGAGGTGTAACACCTCGAAAGTCTAACTCGTTCGTGTCCGACGGAGAACTTCGTTCATATTTCAATTAAATGATTGAAGATTTATAAGATCACACAGAATGTCATTAGTGATACTGTCGTTTATGATAACAATTTTTAAATTGATTTATTACGTTCATGTAATTTCAGTAAGATAAGTGAATGCAACATTGTGTGCATACAATAAAATACATCTTGGTTTCAATTCTCCCACTTCTCAATATCAAAAAAGGAAATTTATTATTGTAAACAGAAATAATACTGTTGGACTGTGAAAGAATTTTCCAGGATAAATTATCAAAATTTGTAGGTACGTTAGATAGTAAATGCATCTTCGCCGATAGTGATTAATTGCAATCATTTTGTCTAGTCTCTTCACGTAAGTATTTCAACAAGTCAACACTCCCTTGTGCGATACAAGTCTAACAGTTAATGACTTCATAGATTAATATGATAGTGTATTATCTATTAGACTATGGCAGTGTTTCTATGATAGGAGTATTTGAATTATAGTATGAACTAGGAATCCCAGAAATAACATGATGGGATCAAGAAGTACTAGATAAGCACTAATGAATGTACTGTATCTGGAATTCGAACTCAAGCATTCAACAAGTACAAAGGAATCATCAGTTCATTCAAACACCACATCCGCCACAGCTTAAATTGGAGTCTAGGTGTCTGTAATCAATTGTACGTCTTCTTCTCAAGTTCATCCTGTGTATGTCTGACATTGTATTCGATAAAAACTCTGTTATCTAGAATGCACTCATTAGTATTAGAATTAACAACCGAAATCGGAACAGACTCACCTGCTTCCTGGGATTGTGTAATCACCATGTCGGTTGTGCACTGAAACCGCTGCTACCTAGAATTTGAACCATAGACTTTTAGAATATCCTCCCCCACAAAATAATGTTGGATCTTTATATCCCCAATTTATGAATGATGTGGCTTCATTTAAATCATATTTCTCACATTGGTTAGAGTAAACATTAGAAGTGTTTTTGTGATAAGGATAAACAGCAGTTGATATGAAATCATCCGAATTGTAATCAAAATCGAGCTCATTTAGTACTTGTGCTTCACATTGAACAAGTTTCCCACAAGAAACAAATGCATCATGAGGACAAATAATATTGAGTATGACATCAAGATTTGATTCTTCTGAAATAGTTTCCTCAAATTTATTAAGAATGTCATTGCAGAGTAAAGGATCATTAGAAAAATCAGCATCTATCAAAACTACATCAGGTTTTTGATCATGACTAGGTTTATTCAACATATTTTCCTCAAATTTGCAAGGAATTTCGTCAGAAATAAGTGAATCATTAAGAAAAACCATATCTGGTACAATAACATGAGAAATCTGATAAGTCGATTGATTAGAAACTGTTATTTCGCAAGAATTCTGAGTTTCATTTAACTCTGAACTGCTGTTTGACTCTACACTGTCTTTTGAAATCGTTGATAAAGATAAGCTGTATGCTTCTTTTCCGATGAATGTGAGGAAATGTGCTACAATATTAAGATCCTCAATATCTTCCTTGGTCGTAGCCCAAATTTCTAACCTTTCAAAGTAATCCTCAAAAGCTTCAGAAGTTGAATGAATATCTAACTTTTCCATCGCGACGCCAATAAAATGTTTCGAATTATTTGAATTATCATATGAACTAGGAATCCCAGAAATAACGTAATCGGATCAAGAAGTACTAGATAAGCACTAACGAATGTACTGTATTTGGAATTCGAAATCAAGCATTCAACAAGTATAAAGGAATCATCAGTTCATTCAAACACCACAGTTTCCCACTTAGCTCACTTCTGATGTAGTGGAGGGTGGTTGTTTGGTATTAACGATACATGATCTAGTTAGTGCATGTTCAACATATTTCACGTAGGTGATGCGACAGCAAGTTTGTTTCGTCATTTAATTCATTGGATTAACTAATGTAATTTGTTGTTAAAGCCCCACAGAACATACTTTCGTTTGGTTTGGCTTATTCTATTCACGTGTATTGATTTCCTCAAATATATTTAGGTGCTTCGTAATATTTATACACTAGTGTTATATATACATACTCATCAGTTGCAAACTTTCTTCTTACGTTTTAGACACAACATCTAGTTTCTTCAATATTCTGACACCACTGCTTTGTGGTAATTTAGTATATAAGTGGAAAAATGATTCATCAGTTATGCTTTATTTATTAGAAATCATCTCTGGTTTATCTAGTGTACATGTTACACCAGTTGATCCATCTACTTGTAAGTACTTTAATATTAAACTTGTTTCATTTGATAAGATTTTTTTATTATCCGTCAATTAAAAAATTGTTATCTTCATATTTCAGATCAAAAAGTCATTTGAATTAATTCAAAAGATTGTTTTGTGTAAAGTTATTTTGTATGGCAAACTGATATCAACTGAACAATAATCGAGAACGATGGATTACCGAATCGTTGTTTTTTGTCTCACTTTCGTACACTTCGGTAATCCTCACCTATAGCCACTCCCCTAGGGAAGTGTAATAAAACTAAGATTTTATTTAAAAGATGTCGTTTCTTGAATTAACCGTACAATTCGAATTAAATTCGTAGTTAGTTTATACTACGAAAAAGTGGTAGACACTATCGTCAAACCTTTTAATTCACAAGGTGATAAGTTGTACGGGTTGTATCCAGTATCATGAGTGTGTAGTGGAAGAAATAAACCCTAGCTGACTACATAATACATGAGATCAATAAACGATAAGGATTTATAAAAACTATTTTTGAAAGTGTAATTGTGTTTTAATAAAACCTATTTCAACTTCTTTCCTTTTCTTGTTGCCGTAAGTCTTCAATATTGAATGAAAAAGACAAATTTAACTAGAATTATATCGGTGTAAAAATACTATTTTAGAATAAACAAAACTGTCAACACTCATATAATTGGATAAGTGTCTTTTGCTGTAGTGATACCAGACTTGATGCATGCAACTCTGGAATTTTCGGATCAAGAACAATTCTTATCGTTTATGTCACGACATATCAATCAATTCCAGCATGAGTGAATATACAGTTTAGTTTTTTACTAGTTTCTTTTTCTTACTATGAAACACTTGTAAACCTTTTAGTTGGTTATTGAGTAACTCCATTTTTGATTGAAGTAAAAGACATTTATGTTTTAGATCTTTTATCGTTTTCTTTCACCTCTCATATTTCTTTTTAGATAGACATACCGTCCGATCAATATGTGAATTTATTACAAATCAATGTAACCGTGAAAAAAAAGACCATAAAAGGCAGCTACATAGTATTATTGTTGCTGCGTATTATTGTTTATCTTCATGGATTGTACAACATGTGAATTTATTATTATCTGATCGAGAATGTGTATGGACTATATTAGAAACAATTGAATTGGGTATTTGTGGTGCTAAGTCTTCAGTATGTTATCGGTTGTTACATGTTGTATTTTAATTTTTGTCAAATCTTTGATGCTAATCTTATACTAATGACCCGTTCAGAGCTTAATAATTAGATATAACAATACTCTTAACATTTTTGTCTTAGTGGAGAGGAATAGTTCAGTGGTTAAAGTATTAGTTTTATAATATATCAGTTTATAATATACTGAGTGTTTGTGAACCATCTTAGTGTAGTAAACAAAATACTAACCAAACCATAGTATATTCATCAACTAAATATCGATGGTAAAATGATTTATTTGGTTTTCTTTAGACCTATTCAACTATTTATGGATTATATTTGAAATATGAGTTGATTGTGTACCTCAAATCAATATCATAGTAATCATTACTGCTGAAGAACCGGAATTGGGTCAAACCAAACATTTGATGCTATCTATTAATTCCTCAATTGATATCATTTCCCGATGAAAATCACCTCTGAACTGTAGATAAGCTAAATCTTTTTTTCTATATTAGACTTTCAATGAATAAACTTATTATTAAACAATATCTACTTAATAGGTATCATTATCAAGGTTTGATTTGATAATTTCGAATAAATTGAGCATTGGGTAGATTGTTATAAATAAATAGTATATTTGTAATATCCCAATGAGTAGAAAAATGAGATTTTCTGATGTTTCGTGGCTTAATGTAAGTCACTTCTTTAGAGAATAAATAACCAAATTAAAATTAATCCAAGTTTAAATATTTACTTAATGATTGATAATCCAAATAACTACTATTTATGCATAATACAGTGAACAATAATCTTTTGAAAGAATTCCCTTTATATGTTACCAGCACATGATGAAATTTTTCTCAAATTTACTTACATGTGACAGCTGATAGCATTCTAATAATATTTTAGTTTGTGTTTGCGAGAAAAGCGTTTATGTATGAATATAAGTTAGTTAAATCTTATCGAATAAAAAATATCAAGTAGCGAAATGTCTTAATTTTGATCCATTATTCATTGATTATTGAGCCGTAGATGTTACGATAAACGTTAGTACTACATAGTATTTTTTTCTCTGCAAACTACTGTTTCTGAGTACCTTATATTAAACTACGTTCTCTGTTTTTCATCTAAATCAGAATAAACAGGCAAAAAATGAGCCCCCTACTACTATTCTCAAAGGTCAAAAACCTTTAGTTCCATCCTCAAAACGTGTTTGTGATGCGGCTGAGGCTTGTCTGTCAAATTTAATGTCAGTAGCTGGATCTTTTCCTGGACCATTCGGGACCGATACAACATGTTCTCAATTAGCAGAAGATAACATTTTGAAATTGATTATAGATGAAGAGTCGAATTCATCTAAGGGTCGGTCAGAATTTCACTATTTCTGGTCCGAACCCAATTTAATAATTGGATTGTGCGAATTCCCTACGAACTCGTTTAAATCAACCATAAAACCAAAAATTGATTGTTCAAAAGATGGACCAGCTGCAATTTTAATTATTCGAGGACCATTTGGACGTCATGTTTGGATAACGCATATGCGTCTTTCACCATTGTTGGGAAACGACTCAAATTCTCAGTCAAATTATTCGGATCAAAAACAAGAAGTAGTAATTAATCGTCCTAAACCTTGGGGTTGTTTTCTTGACAGACTTATCACCACAGTAACCAACAATGAAAATGTTCCTGCTTTAAATTTTCCACAATCGATATCCGATATTCCACTTGTTGAAGCGTAAGCAATATGTTTCTTGATTATTTGTCATTACTTAGGTTCGCATTTCGAGGCTAGATATACTCCCCAGTCTTGAGGAAACTGATCCCTTCTGGTGGGTTTGAATCCACTTCATTCACACTCACAGTTTGAAACGTTGTCACTGAGCTATTCTTACTGCAAATGACTTTCCATTGGATTGAGACGTTTCCAATTTATTGGTCTCTAAGCAGTTATTAATGTCATGTTTTCTAGTTTTTTGGCGCTGATCAGTAATTGATAAATATCCACCACTTTTCTGTAGTTGTACTTTATATTTTTAATGATAGACATTGAGCTGTAATTCAGTTTCTCATTTGTGCCCTAAATCTGCTTAGTACTGTATTTTTGTGCATTATATATATATACCCAATTCTTTATCATATCAAAATTAGTGATCATATAATACCTTCGCTGGATGAAGTTGGTAGTGAACTTGGAAGTAATGTTAGACAAGAAATTAATGTATTCAAGAAATTAATAACCACACATGCTTCGTTAGCAAAGGAAGTCGGATTACGTTGTGTCCAAGAAAAAATTAATGCACCTTATCCTGATCCAATCACAGAAGCACAAGCACCAATGTAAGTTTGATTTTTTGTGTCTTGCTTTAATCTTATTTTGATGAATAGTGTAACAGGAAATGGGCTCAATTTATCAATGTTTTTCTATACATTTGTACTCTCAACAGTGGCTGACATTTTTTGCACGGTTATTGTGATTCCTGATCCCTAGTGATGGGAATTTCCTGGGTGTGATTAAAAACATTTAAAATTAAGTGACTGGTTAACTTGTTTTTGAAAATTCGTGCTCATGTGTTCAGGAACATTGTTGCGATTGGAACGCTACCAGATACAACGTACTCAAGAACACATTATCGGTGTCTATGACAACGTTCGAAACAATACAGCTAGTACTTTGTAATTTATTTACGTTCATAGTCAGTCAAGGGATATTTACGTTTTGTATTACTTTTCAGGAATCAGTAATTAATATTTATTATTTTAAAGCTGATCATTTTGTTGGACAAAACGGAATAAAAAAATTTATATTAAAGAAAAATACAAAAATAACACTGCGGTAAATAGTATTCCTCAATGGTGTTATTCTATAGTACGTATTTCAGCGAGATGTTCATTCATATAGTTAAATAGGGAGTTTTCATTAATAATGGTAACCAGTGTGTCAGTAAAATGTTTGTAGTGAACTTCAGCGCACATCCATCAGAATAAAACTTGTATTTAGACTGGAAGATAGTTTTAGAATAATACGTATTATGACTGTATACTACGTAGTTTATATTCTGATTTCGCTTTTTAACACTAGAAAAATGATATTGCCGTACTAATTACTTTTAAGAGAACAGGTAATCTACCGAGTAATGAGTAGTCTTTACAACATTTTCTTCCTGAAGGTAAAGACTGTCTTGTAGATATGGATTCGAAAGTTGCTACTTTTTTAAAAGAGACAGGTATTTTATCTACTGAATGAACATTTTAAGTTTTAATAATAGAATAATGGTATATTCGTGATATTTTAGTGGCTGGTACTGTGTCAAGCTCACACAGGTTATTCTAGCATCTGGACGACAGGCCAATTTATTCATTCTTCTCAAGCCACATTTTGACCTGATTACTTATTATTTCTGTTTTTATATGATCGCATGTGTGTTAATTGCTCACCCTATTCATTACGTGTTTCCAACTTCTTTTGGTCTGAATATAAATATTGAGTCAAGCTTGATCAAAACGAGTCGGCTCACTCGCCATTTCCACTGCGCGCCACTCTGTTTCTCTGATTGTCTCTTCAAATCAATTTTTTGTTTGTTTTGTTTGAACACATAAATATTGGTACAAGAGGGCACCAAATATATATGCGCCACACAAAACAATGAGAATTCGAAGAGAAAAAAAACAATAACTAACAGATCAGTGTAAGGTAGTGTAATAATAATAATAATAGCAATAATAATAGTAATAATGGGAGAAACGGAAAGGTACAATCAGAAGAAATCTTTCAGTTAAGGAAGATACAACCAATTTTTATGAAGAAAGTAAAAGAAGGTTACAGCAGGATCGCCACTGGCTTCTATTCTGAGCCATATCTGATAACATCTCTAGCCACTGTGTTGCACCATCTCTCGGACCCAAGCCAGGGAGTCGTGAAGGACCAACAGAAGCCAGCCCTCTGCAGCTCTCTTTCATGCCACGACACTACTTCATACACTGACTACCTCTCCGCTTTTTCCAACCAGTCCCAGAGTCGGCAAGTAATGCATGACGAGGAATTCTCTGGGACGACATTCGTAGAACATGTCCAAGCCACCGAAGTCGGTGTTTCAAGATGATGACACCAATCGCATGATCGTCTATGTGCCCGAACACACGATCCCGAACCTCTGCATTACTAACATGGTGTTGCCACTGTATGGCAGCAATCCTTCGGAGACAACGATGATCGAACACAGAGAGTCGCCTAACGTCCTCAACTCGGAGAGGCCAGGTTTCACAAGCATATAGCAAAACTGCTCTCACCGACGCGTTGTATATCCGACCTTTAACAGCCAGACTAACATCACGAAGGCGCCAAGAATGTCCCGGATTAGCATAAGTCGCTCTGGCTTTCACTATACGTGTGTTGGTTTCATCACTCACACCCCAACTAGCACTTATGCAGCTACCCAGATACACGAACTTTTCGACTACTTCTATCTGCTCACCATCCACGGTGAGTACAGGATTAGAATCCTGCCCGTCTTGTAGAAGTACTTTGCACTTCGAAGGTGCAAAGCACATACCGTACCTACGGACACTGATTGCCAACTGATTAAGTGCGGATTGCATGGCTTAGGCATTATCGCACAGTAAGACAATATCATCCGCATACACAAGGTTGGGAAGTCTTTCTCCAGGCAACAGATCCACACCACCATTACTTACATCCATCAGAGCTGTTTCCAGAATGTCATCAATGGCAAAGTTGGAGAGGAATGGTGAGATTGGGCAACCCTGCCTAACCCCACTGCTCGAATGGAACAATGGAGAGAGGTGGTTGTATGCCCTCACTCTGTCTGAGGTGTATTTATATAGGGCTTTTAGGATGTTAATAAACTTCTCAGGCATACCCTTCTTCAATAGACAATCCCAGAGAACAGTCCTATCCAACGAATCAAAGGCAGCCCTGATGTCGAGAAACACTACGATTGTTGGCCTTTGATAAGTATGACGGTGTTCTAACATTTGGCGGAGAGTGAAGATATGATCAATACATCCTCGATCAGAACGAAAACCAGCCTGCTCCTCTTGAGTCAATCTTTCTCGGGTTTTGAACAACCTACGAAGAATGACGGAAGCCAATTGCTTGGACGCAATCGGAAGTAGACTTATCCCCCGATAGTTGTTACAGGAACGACGTGAACCCTTTTTAAAGATAGGGACAACTATCGACTCATTCCATGACCTCGATACACACTCTAGCTCCCAGACCTCAGTAAACAACACAGTCAGTTCCTTAGTCAGAAAGTCACCACCATCTTTAAAAAGAGCCGGAGGTAAGTCATCTGGGCCTGGTGATTTGTAGCGTCTCAAGAGTTGGAGTTCCTTGTGGCTTCCGCCTCATTTGGTGGATCAGTCGTCACCGACCATGGAGGGCAGAACAGCCTGATCGATGTTGCCGGAGCAGCGGGCCAGTTGAACTGCCCTCCGAAGAATTCCGCCCATCGTCCAAGACGTTGATGGGTGTTGGCGTTTGGCATCCCGTCATTCTCTTAGGTTGTTTCGCGCACATCAGCCTCCTTGCTGCCAGTGGCTCGGATGAGTTGGAAGAGCTTCCGGTAGTTACCAGGTGCAGCTGCTGCTTCCAACTCATTAGTACGCTCCGACCATCAGGCTTCTCGGTCCTTACGCAATTTTTGCTTAATTTCATTACGTAACAGTCGTCGTTTGTGGTCAAACTCACGGTTACCTGGAATAGACCGACGGGCTTCAATGAGTTGTAAGGAACCAGAAGAAACCTAGTGCTTATAAGCGGGACGTTTCGCGAAGCCGCAAGCGGCTTTACTCGCCAAATCAGTTAGTATGAAATATAGGTATTCAAAATCCATTCTTGTATTTGGCTTATTTTATTCTGTTGTTCTCTAGAACAAATTAAGTCAATAAAAATATACGAATGTTGGCGGTACGTATATTTCTATAACAATGATCATGCGATTTAACTGAAGTCATACATACGGCCACTATAATATCTCAATCAGTAAGAATTTGGGTTTTTAATGTTTTGAGGCTCTGTGGCCTCTTCTGATTAAATAAATAACTGTATAAGACTTAACACAAACCTAAGTAGTCTGTTTGATCTTAATTTAATACGGTCATTTATTTACTCTGAAGTGGCTTACACTAAGTCACGAAACATCAGAAATTCAGATTTTTACCTGTTCAGAAACCACGAATATGTCATTATTTTATTATTAACACTTTACCCAATGCTCAGTTTGTATGAAAATATCAAAGCTTAAGTTATTCACTTTTTAGAATAGAAGCTTTACTTTCTGGTTATGTGTTAACAAATTTTCAGGATAATTTTTTCTAGTGATTTACAAAATATATTATGTAGTAATTAATTGTTCATAATATAGCACTGTTTTATGAACTCTGAATGAATTTGCCCCAGTGGCGGTATAAGTGCATTTTAGCAATCATTACATTTTCGAGAACATGTTTTAGTAAGTGACAATTGTTTCTATTCTTGCCTTTCTCAGTCCCGTTGTTAGTTTTCACCCAATACGTTTATTACTAACGCATTTGGGCTATTTATCAATCGGACCTTCTCAAATGCCCCAGTCATTATGGCCACGTCCAGAGTTAAAACGTGATACCCAATCAGGTGAACGTCTTGGTCTTGGGAATCGACAAAGTCCATCTTTAACAGCTAATCGTATCATACAGGGGCTTTCGTCTACTTTGCCGTCGAATAGTACTGAAGACGAACTATTGCCCTTATTTCCATTCGACGTGGAAAATCCAGATTTTGCTGATATATTAACAAATCTCGACCATATGCCGACCAGAACAGGTGATACGCTTTTGGTTTTTTATGTTGCTGCTGGTCAGTCAAAAGTTGGTGATATTCTTGCGAATATGGTAAGATTACTACTTTTTTTATTTCTGTTTATCAAAATACCTTTACTTAACTGAAAACTTAATAAAATTTAACTTCTTATTCAACGAAAAACCGCTCCACAAGCTTCGAGATTTAGTTCTGATTTTTTTTCACAAAATAACTCCAAACATTTAATAGTATCACTTGGTCGATAAATATTGATAATGAGCCTTCAGCATTGGAAAATGATAATGTTTGCATAATAATCAGTTGTCTCCATTTATCCACCTGATAGAATATATGACATTGTGATTATTAAATACCTAAGATTCAACCCATACTTTCATTTAAACAGTTTACTGTGTGTCGCCATTTTTCAGTGGGAACTGTTGAACTCTATTCATATTTTCCATTACGTCGAAAACCCAAAACGTTTCGGTTTAGTGTTCTACGAGTTGAAGATGTGCATAATTGGTTTCTGTTAAATTCATTTTCCAGATGACATGATGCAAATGTTCGTGAACTATTCTGTATGGACAGTGGGAGTAAGTTTAATTAACTACACCTAACAACTCGATATTGCATACTTATTACGTTTGTTATCCCTCGTTGAGCATAGACTGTTGACCGGCAACCTCGAATCAACTCTCCTGGGTTCTGCTTCCCAGTTATTGTCAAGTGTTATTCATTCTTTCAAAGTCCGCCTTCTATTCCCAGCACAATGTGTTCTCTGGTCTACGTATGCCTGAACACCGATTACCACGAAGTGCAATGCTATCCGGTATTGGAAATGGTTGGAAGAAAGTTAGGGGCGGCCAAACCAAAACGTGGCATCAGTTCTTGAAGTCACTAACTTCTAGTCTGAGCCATGTTGGTAGATGCAGACTACTTGGTTGTGGTCCGCGTGACTGTCGTAACCAATGGTTGAAGACTCTTGGTGACATGGCTCAGAATCGCTCACAATGGCGTAGTTGTATACACTCTCTGTCTTCCCTTAAACTAAGAGATTAAAATCACTTCATATCTTTCTTTCTACGAACCAATTCTTTCTTCCTGTACTGTATCCTTATATGCAATCTTTCTCTTATATATTACCACCATTGACTTAACCACTCCTATGAATCCGGTGTCCATCTTGTTGTGCTAATGAGGTATGTGTTGGGATATTCAGAAAAATATACCAATAATTATCCTGTTAAGTCTAATGGTGTCCTTGGACTTTAAATGGACATTTCCTATTGGTCAATGTTTATTTCACTTGTCAAATATTGTTTCTATTTTATGGTACGATGTGGTCTGCCTTATTGGTATATAAACAGAGTATGTTTGAAATATAACGATTCATATCTCAGAAGCTGAGACTTGCGTTTTGGACTCAACTGGCTGGGCTAGACAGGGAAGCAGGGCCAATCAGGACTCTAGGTCGTTCTTACGTGTCATTGATCCGATCGATAATACGCTGCGCATCTAATCTGCAGTCACAAGTCATAACAGTATGGCAACTTGGACCGATGCGTATATGTGCCTGGTCCTACGTTGTAGCTGACTGACTGAAGGTTTACCTCGTGACCCAGTTTGATAATTCCCACAATGTGTATCCTATTCTTAACTTCCTGGTTTGTTCTCTGCAACAGTAGGTATCTGGCGAAGACAACTGTTTATAGATGGCTGTACTCTTTTGATGATCGTTGTAGTAGGTCTCCACGTTTCAGTTCCGTACAACAGAACAACATTGATGTTTGTACTGAAAATTACGACTTTCACACTTCGACGTAGAGAGAAAAAAATAGATCTCTACCAAAATAACTTATACTGCTTCAACAAACCTTACTCGAAAGATTGTCATGTGAATATTTGGTGTGGAAATTTTGAAAAACAAAAAAATAATATGACGCACTAAGATAATGGTAAATTGGTTAAGGTAAACCGATAGGAATGCAATAGAAAATAATCAGATTATAATAGATTGTTATTCCATAGGGATTCAAGAAAGTGAAGATTTACTAAAAGCATATTAATGATTAAAGGTGGATTAGATGAAATTTCTAATAATTACTATTAGCTTTAAAACAAGTATTGAGATATCAAAGCCAGTTTCTTCAACACACTTCCCAGTCCACTTGTGGTGCGTTCTACTTATATTGACGTAAGTAGTATATGACGCGAGTTAAAAACCTTATGTATGGTAGCAGAAGATGGGGGAAGATCAAGAAAGGAAGAGCGAGAACACAATGCAATTTGTAAGAAAACGCATGAACAATGAAATGTGAGACAATGGGTTGGTGTTTGCAACAGGGACAGTCCAGGTTGATATGATGGATTAATATTTTGCAAATTAACGATTTACTGTATGGTTTTTCTATTTTACCAAATAACTCTGTAATTGTGTGCTATATACAATTCGATTGTCCCCACCCATGTTCTGTTCACTACACACTTAGTTTTATATGAATTATTTTTAATCAGAAATGAAACTGAAACTAATACGTATCATTCAAATGCTTAAGATAAACGATAATATCTTTTGTCGAAATATTTAATTAATTAAATTATTCACAAACATGTTATCGCTCGATTTAAAATCGTTGTTGCAGTTATTCCTGATTGTCGGGTTTTCAAATGAGAACAAACCCGAGCTAATAGCTAAAGGAAAACCTATATTTATATGAGAGGATATAAGTCTCCAAGTCAAACAAAATAATTTCTGAAAAATAAATGTCCTATTAAATTTATATAATAGTTATCACACTTACTATATAATATACCAAGTTTTTGATTTAATCAAATAAATGTTATTGTCATTGCTAAGTCTCTTTATTCAGCCTAGTATTTTTGGACACTTCCGTTCACTCGACCAGTTGTCAAACTAAAACAAGACTTGGACAGGGACGTAAATTACATTCCGAACAAAACAAGGTAATAGAATGTCGATGTATTTACAAACTTTACACAGGAATATTTGAGAATTCTCTCAGCTCATCCCTTAACGCTGATTGGGTGAAAGTGATCCGATCAGCGCGCTCTACTGTAGCATGCTCTGGTTAAGTTTCTGGTCTGATAACAGCAATGTAATTACACAGTATTGGCATTTGTTCATCATTTAATTTTGAATCTTGTACATATATGACTTCTACATAACTTACTCCACGAAAGTATATTTTACATTCCATAAATGTTTAGACAGTTTTTCAGTAATTTTGATTTGTGAATAATTTTTTATTACGTTTGATCATTAATACTGGATTTCCACCTACCTAGTTCTGTTTATGTACGTAATTTTTTTATTTGCTAAACAGAATATTTGGTCAAGACTACCTGAAGCATTTCATCAATTCTTAAGTGGTATCGGCTGTATCAAAGATATTTCTGATCATTCAGGTTGGACAGGGAACCTTCAAACTAGCTATCGTACATCAAATGGATACTTGGTGACGGGTCACTGTAATCAGACGAAAAATATACATGCTGACCACTGTCCGGATGGTATTCAATCAATTATATACTATGCTGATGCAATAACAGAATTAGCATGCATTTGTCCCACTAATCAATTTTATGGAAATGAAGAGAATTCTGACTCAAACCTTTCGTTAAAGAGTACACGTTATCGCACTGCTAGCGAAATCATAAGTAAGTTTAAAATTAAAATAATTGTGATTGGTTTAGTACAAACAGTACGAATAAAATGGGATATTTCATTGATCGGACGGTACTTCCTGAAGCATACACGAAATGCACTCGACTTCGTAGATATATAATTTACGCTTGAACCTGATTTATCTCTTGAGGTAGCTAACACAATGGGCTCATCACTATTATTTTTAGGAAATTCGATAGTTTAAAACGCTAAAGACGATTGCTATTAAATAGGTTTGTGTTGTATGCATATTAGAAATTTATCTATCTCTAAAGGTGACCAATAGCTTACAAGGTGGTAGATTTCATCAAGTTTAAAAGTAAACAGTTCCATCAAGGGAAACTAATTACTTCTGATGAATACTAATTAAAGTGACCATATGGAGTATATTACACATGACTAGATTACTTCATGCAGAAAAATGATAAGAGGACAGTGTATCTGTATGGTAAACTGTTTTCAAAAGAGTATTCAATCCAATTAAAGCAAACACTAAATAGATCAAGGTTCTCTAGTAAATATATTTTAGTTGACAAACAATAAGAACTTCCTTAACAAGTTTACTTGATGTTAATCTGAGTTTTTTTAGATGTTTAGTGTTTGTAAGATCGTGTTTAGTAAAAAGGTCACATAAGAAACTGTTTGGTGGTTTTGAAAGACTGTGTAAATTGGATATTTTAATAATTTAACTTAATGTGAATAATACATATGCATACTCGATAAGTAATTTCTATTTCTGAAAAAAACCTTGATACTGATTAAAATCCCCCATCCTTTATAATAATATTATATTTTGTTTAATTATCACGCCAGCTAACATCACTCGTGGGACAAGTCAAAGTGCAGTAGGCATGGGAGAAGTTGGGGCGGACCCGACTGGAGGTCGAGTGGCAGTTGTATGGCTCGAACGATGGGAAGATGGACCTATGCACTATGAACCAGGAGTTGGGACGAACATCCAGAATATGACGAGCAAGAATTTTGACTGCCCTGTCACAATTTATGTTCATCCTTTAAGTTCCGGATTATGCAGAGTTGGCATTATGCGTCTTCAAGGACGAACATTTGAAGCTGGTCCATTACAGAATGGATCTGTATTAAGTCAGCGTTGTCTTAGTAGTTTTGTAAGACAAACTGTAATAAACTTATCACGACGACGTCGTTTGGCTTCCGACTCATTTCAACCTCCTCATGTTCGACGAAGCCATGAATTGTTCAGATTGGCAGAAGCAAACCGTAAAATTGTTCGAGTTCAGCCATCATCATCTGGCAATAAAACCAATACATACTCTTGTAACACAGCGAATATTGTGCGTAGTCTTTTTTCTAGACAAACTCAAATTCATTCTAGCTAAAGCTTTTCATATTTTAACTGTAATATCCACTATTGTTGTGAACAAGGATTCCTTCATATTTACATATCAAACAGAATGTTTTTTTTCTTTTTATTTTCATACTTCCTAATCTTACGTATTTAACATGTAACTAAATATACTTTTACATTTTAATTTTCTTCATCTATAATTATGGTAATGATATATGAAATTTGCACACTTACTACACATTAAAAATCGAATACTGTCTGTGAGTAGACTGGAAACTGCAGCGGACATTTAGTCTTTACAGTTGAGAATTCACATAGAAAGGGTAGATAAAAGCTAAGTAGATAAATTTTTTATTTGTAAATGTAATGATGTAATGTAATAATGTAAACTACCTCCTTTACATCCTAAAATGACTAGAGGTGTTAAAGACATTACCACAGAATTATCATACTTCGACAAACTGATGGACGGCTATGAACATGGTTGAAATTTACTATTTGTCAACTCAAAACACTTTCATAGTAGTTACAAGAATGGAAACGTCTCTCAATAGTACGCAGTGGAAGTGGATGCTTCTTAATACTTTTGTTGCTCACGAACTATATTGTTTATTAGATTCACTGAAATCGCTGTATTTGTGACAGATCATAAAACTGTTACAATGCAATGTGCCATTGTTTTTTATATTTACAATTTGTACATAGAACATATACAATTATTTGGTTTCTAATGAAATGGTCATAGGCGAGCTCCAAACTTTGGATGTGAATCCTCCTGAAGATATGAATTATCAAAAGCATTAATTCGATAATAATAAACTTTTTTCATCTGGTTTTGCTTTAGCACCTCTAGCAAATTGAACAACCATCGGACGATCATATAGCATATAACCATTTGTGGCTTCCAACGCTTGTTTGGCAGTTGATTCACATGCAAGGCCGATGAATGCCTGACCTGAGAAAAACAGTAGATTTTAAGCCTATACTATGAAATAGGATGAGAAAGATAGTGTGGTATACTGATTTTTTTAGAATTGCTAATAATAAATGCAGGTATGTTGTTATTCGCGACTCTTATACATCAGAAGTCTGACGATAACAACAATTGGATTTCTTACATCAAACATGTGATTATTATATTGAAGAACATTTACTGAATCACATCGACTCCTCTTGATATTATTTGTTACAACCAAATAAAAACTATAGAGTATACGACTAACTTATAAGAGAATTCAATACAACACAAAATAGGGTTAGAAAGTAAAATAGAGCTTAACATAATCTTGTACTCACCTTTCATTCGACCTTCCGTCAAAAGTCTTATTGAAAAACACTCTGTTGAGTCCAACGAAACCCTTGGTTTGCAACTACTGTCAGTCACAGGTCCGTTTGAGAATACCCCGAATATTGCAAACAAATCGGCTTCTGTAACCATTTGAGATAAATTTTTGACATACAGACGAGAGGTGGTAGTTCCAGTATCATATTTAGCAAATACTGGATAATTCCTGCGATCCTCATCTTTTAGGCGATTGGATATGATTTCATCAAGGGACAGTACTGTTACGAAATTAGACGGGTTATTATCAGTAACATTTGTCATATTTCCACTACTCAAAGGTGGTTGTGATGGTAGTGGGATTAAATCTTCCAAGTTCTCATGTTCTTCATCAGAAAATTGTTCTGCGAAGAAAAATGATAAGCGGGATAAGAAAATGTATGTAAACAAATAGTCCATAAGATTCAAGGGATAAATTCTGTTCAAATATATCACGTATTTCAAATCATTTTTTATCTAACTTGCGTAGCCCTATGCTCAATACGGTTTTGTATTGGTTACACATAAGTAATGCAGAACATAATCTTGTCCTACCTCACATCATTTGAGGATCTAGTCATTCCACATTGTAAAACCGAACATCTGAAACTAAAGTAAGTGTATATATTATGCATCAAACTCTCGGATTTACCTAGCTAATATCATGACAAGACTTCATAAAATCCTCCTTACCTTTACGGAGCTGAAAATTGGAGAAGATTGATGCATGGTTTTCTTGAGAATTCTGAGTTGGTCCGTCAAGAAAATGCCGTTTCTCTACTTTAGTCTCCGTATGGATAAGTCCGAATCCACCTTCAGATTCATCAAGTGAATTACTATGATCACGCTGAGAATTGACGTTAAGAATCTTTGGCAAGTTTAACTTTTTAGCAGCTTGATGTGATTCGAATAAATCAGCAACATCAACATTTTTACGTTTGGAAGTCTTAGGAAGACGACTAGGTAATACAGTAGGGGTTTTTTTGCGGACTTTGAAACGTCTTCTCACTGAGATGCTTTTTTGTGCACAAGTAGTTGCTTTTTTTTCATCGTCTGAAGGAAACATAAAGTAAAATCAAAACTTTACCAGAAGCGAGTTCAGACTCCGGTCCACTAGATAAATCCATTTCTTCTGAAACTGAACCTGAATCATAATTTTCCTCTTTTGGCAAGCGCTGGATATTATCTATTAGTGTTTGCATTTTCGCATAATCTGAAGCAGAAATGACAAGATAATCCCCAGGGAATTTCTCCGGATCTTCAAATGGTGGTGGTAAATGGAGTTTGTTCATTATGTGGAGTACCTGTAGAAAAACGTGTAAATATTACCGCAGGTTGCTTAATGCGAATAGTGATGAGTAACTGTCAGATAATTTTAATTAGTTTTCTGGACAAAACAGCTATTCACTAGTGAAAACAAATGTTTCTCTCTAGAAACATCTTAACAACAGTCGATGATTTCTGTTCATCGCATGTATAATCAAGGTTCCAACATAAATTAGTGTGCTAAATTGCCATTACTTTTTTGTAATTCATGACTATTAACAGAAGAGTGCTAATGTGAAAAAATCTGACAGTGAATCGGTTTAGTAAGCCTAAATTAGGATAAACAGGCACAACTTAACGTTCCACCTGTATCATATATTTATAAGCACTGAGGAGCTCTCAAACTCATCAACATAGCTTAAAAGAACATGCGCGAAAAGCGAATGTCCGGCGCTTTAACCGGGTTGGTGGTGGACACGGAGAGTCCACCTAGGGTAGTTGGAAAACCCAGATTCCAAACCAATCGTGCACATGGGCTCCAGTATCCTGAAGGAACAAATGGAGTATGAACCAATCGTTGGCCACCGGCTACCATGGGAATGCATCTTCTCACAATGTTCCACTGCCTTGTGGTTCAGATCTTGAGGTCGAAGGCTCCGGGTGTGGCCCCCTAAGGAAACCACCTGCTTCGGTTTGGGCACCCGTGCAGTATCCCAGCCCTCACACATATCAAATGAGATTTGTGTGGCGCATATGTACTTGGTGCCTTCTTGTACCAATATCTATGTGTCCAAATAAATAAATAAAGTACATTGATTACGGCTGACTTATTCGTATTCTCGAGTATGTGATAGTTTAACGTTTAACTAATATGTGATATAACACATATGTCAGTAAAACCGTCCAAATAGAGTCAATATCGGAGGTTATGTACTACAAAGTAATTCTACTGCACTATTATAAAGAAACCACAACGATGTGCATTGATTAGAGCATGTCTTTAAACTTGAGGGTTTTACATAACTCTAAACTGTTGCGTAAATGCATTCGAGAATCCTGACCAAAAAACACAAAACTGTCTTTACTTTTGCCTACCTGATTATAAAATGCTGGGCAAGAAGCCAACGATCGCACAATGTTTGTCAGTATGTCAATGGATACAACAGGATATTCATAGTACATTCGTGAGGAAGCTTCAAAAGATGTATCCCACATAGCAGAAAAAGCATTCGTGGTTACGGGAAGACATTCTTCTTTGGATTTGTCTGGATTAGTCTTTTGGATATTAACTGAAGATAATCTAAAGAAGAGTTTAGAGAATGTCGTCCTTACTTTTCTACAGACTGGATGAATTCAACTGAAAGACGACGATCCAATATTTTCTTTTGGTGAAGATTTTTAATGATATTCCACGCATGTTGTTCAGATGCGAACTCCGCATAAGCGCACTAAGTCTGAATTAGAATGAAACAGATAAAGGGAATACATTACATGTTTGAGAGAACCGGAACATCCAAAATATTGAGACGTGGTTGCCCCCAGAGATTTTAAAAAAGTTACACATTCATCTTCATTTATTTCAGGTGGGAAGTGTTTAAAAATAAGACATCTTTCATCTGACTTCATATAGATGGTATGTTTAGAGAAAGCTTCAGAACCAGAATAAGCAGTGGCTGGAAAAAAAGACAAAAAGAGACTAAATAAAACTGATTTTACAATTCATTACGGCTATGTTAATAAAGATGAGCATATTTTAATCAGTATTGTTATATTAACAGTATTGCGCACATATCGCTAACAATAACCAGCATTAGAAACTAGCGCAGTTAACTTGTACAGCTAATGTGGCGAGACTATAATTTATGGACGAAGCAATATATAAGATAACGCGGAATTCGGCAGTCCAATTGATTATGGTGTTTTGGCATTTTAGCTGATATCAATTTGTGATGAAAACCACAAATCTAATTCCTAACCCTAACCACTAACAGTAAATTATAATTCTAATTCATCACACTGGTTCATAACACTAAATTAGCCCTGGTTGGTCAGTGGACATCCTCAAAGTCAATTTAGCGTCGCTCAAAAGTCGTCCATAAATTATAGTTTCACCGCTAATGCAATTATCATAATTTAAGGTGTAAAACTAAGTATTTATTTGGACACATAGATATTGGTACAAGAAGGCACCAAGTACATATGCGCCACACAAATCTCATTTGATATGTGTGAGGGCTGGGATACTGCACGGGTGCCCAAACCGAAGCAGGTGGTTTCCTTAGGGGGCCACACCCGGAGCCTTCGACCTCAAGATCTGAACCACAAGGCAGTGGAACATTGTGAGAAGATGCATTCCCATGGTAGCCGGTGGCCAACGATTGGTTCATACTCCATTTGTTCCTTCAGGATACTGGAGCCCATGTGCACGATTGGTTTGGAATCTGGGTTTTCCAACTACCCTAGGTGGACTCTCCGTGTCCACCACCAACATGGTTAGAACGCCGAACTAAGCAAACGATGTCCCAAGGTGATTTAATGCTTAGGTGGGTGACAAGGTAGTAATTCCTTCGAGTCCTAATCTCAGACTATATCCACAGAACCTTTACGATCTGAGATAATGTGATGTTTCAATAAATATCAGTCTAGTACACTTCTTTACTCATTAATCTTAGGGGTATGCTTCACAGTTTAATCTGATCATTACCGACTGAATTTAGAAAAATGCCAATACTTTCACACGAGAATAATTTGTCGGGTCTCGCTATTGAAAGCTAAAAACGAGTAATACTTTAAATCTCTCGTGAGAAAAAGACATTCAAGATCATTTACATTTATCCGAGATGAAATCTAGCCTTGATCTAATTAGATCAACATAAGTTGTCACGTTCCGCCTTTGGTTGATCTATGTATAGCTGCAAAATATCTTGTGCGCTTAGAGAGTTTGAAAAGCACTATGTTAGACTATCTAGAGCAGAAAAGAAGGGAATTGAGTTATTGCCTCAGTAGCCACATTAAATGAAACTTCATTTAGTAACATAAATAATTAAAAACATTCGAGGATATCACGAGAGTGAGATTAAAGCGATCTGATAGTCAAAACTAGGAAGTGACAGTGTAAGGTTTCAAACGAGTTAAAAATTTAAAGCCTGAAGGTAACCCTGATGTAACGTAAGTCCATGTTGCGCGCGACAAATGACCCTCACAAGTGTCCACAAATAGTCCCAAATTGTAAATAATGGAACGAATTATTATTAATAATAATGGCTTCATTCAATATTATAGTTTTGGTACAATATAGAATTCTCAGCACAGATTATTTCAACAAGTTACTCACGCAACAAAAAAAACAGTAACGAATACAAAACAAGAGAAATGTTTTTTTAAAAAAAAAGAAAAAAACGAAAAACTGTACAACTTTTAAAATTAAGGACATGTTAAGAATGCAAGTTATTGACTAGGTTAACTCTAACAACCTGTTCGTCCTAGAGTATGTTTGCTAGGTAAGGTATTATAGAACTTTTATACTTTTCCTTGAGTGCATGGATTTTAATGTAATTACGTCTCGTTCTACCAGAAGATATACAAGGAGAAAGATAAGAGTGAAGGGGATGGCTAGTATCTGATAAAATAACACCTGCCAGAAGTTTGCATGATTTTAAATGTCTATCCACAACCATATTAATTATGATCTCGAAAGATTCACCACACATCTTGCTAACTGCCTTCAGCACTCTTCGCAATACAGCAAAGTCTTTTCTCAAAAGCCCGGGAAAGAATAACGGAGAACAGTAAAGAATAATAGGTAATATGCAAGAATTGACAAATTGTAAGAGTAAATGACGAGTAATTCCAAGAGCATGCAATCTCTTTATGTAGTAGGTCAGACGGAAAACCTTCTTCGATAACGATAAAACGTGGGAAGACCAAAACAGATCAGAGGAAAAGGTGACACCAAGATAATTGACCTTCGAAACTGTGCATATCAAAGAGTCTCCGATGGTACAAGCACTATGGGATCTCAAAATAGTGCTTATATTCCGTTCATATCTCATGCTAAAGTTAACAGCTCGACATCTAGACGGATTAAGTATGAGACCATTACCAACAGACCAACAATCAATACGAGACAAAAACTTATTCATTTCTATGGGATGTAAAGAGGAAGAGATAGGCATACATACAGTGAGATCATCCGCGTACTTCACAAAGGTGTTTTCTGTGGAAGATGGCAGGTCATGCAGAAAAAAAGAGAATAGAAGAGGTGAAAGAACAGCTCCTTGTGGTACACCTTCATGTGACAGTAGAGACTCTGAACTCTTTCCTCCAAACAGTGTACTGTCCCCTTCCAGAGAGGTAGGAACATAGCCAGTTAGTTATCCAGCTGTCAGTGTTGACGCTGATTAACTTGTTAAGTAAACGTTGTCTTGTTATAGAATCAAAAGCTGAAGTATAGTCCAGAAAAGCACATCGAACATACTTCTTACCCTTTTTTAAGTTGAACACTATGTTGTGATGCAGAATTGCAACAGCATCTAAAGTGCTTCTTTTGCGCCTGTATGCAAATTGGTATGGGTCAATATGCTCTTTTATCGCAGGCTGAAGTGGAAGTATTAATAATTTTTCCATGGTTTTGAGGAAAGGTGAAGTTATTGCAATAGGTCTAAATTTTACATTCTTATCACCAGATGCTTTCTTGGGTACAGGAATTATCTTCATCTTTCTCCACATTTTCGGTATGAGATTAGATGAGAAGGATCTGTTAAATATAGTTGTGAACGGATGACACAGAACGTCAGCACATTTTTTAAAAAGGATGTTTGGGATACCATCAGGTCCCAAACATCGAGATGAATTAAGCGACTGGAGACATCCTCGTACATCAGTTTCAGTGAAAGTAGGAACACAGCTATTTTTTAAACCCGTGGATAGAGGGAGCATCACATCAGATGACTGACGTACAAAAGACTTATTTAAGTCACAAACATTCAGCTGGTTATCGCTTCTAAACTTTCTGTCACCTGTAAGTTCTTTAAAGAATTTCCACATACTTGGAGAGTTTTTGCAAGATAAGAGTTTTTGAGCAAACATACAGTTGAGACGTCTAATCTCTAGGTTTATCAGACCATTTAGCTTACGAACTTCATTTGAGTTCTTCTCCTTGTACATTCTTTCTTTCATCCTCCGTAGTCGTTTTAGTTGTGAAGATGTAAGTCGATCAAAACCTACAAAAATGGTTTCAGTGGGACAACAAATATCAAAACGGTAACAAGGTAACAAGTGATAACATCAGTAGTGATTTCGAGTGAGTCATCTGTAAATAATTCCCAGTTAGTCGTATGAAGCATGTTTTTCAGTTTTCGGATATTTTCTTCTGAGTAATTCCTATATTTGACTTTCTTGGTTTGATGTAAGAGTGTACTCTTCCCATGCTTTCCATATACTTTAGGTAGAACACGAATTATACAGTGATCTGAGCTAGACAATGGAGCACGTTTACGAGTCGCATATATACCCACATCATTAATGAAGACGAAGTCTAGATGAGCATCCAAACGGGTAGGAAAATCCACTACATTTTGGTGACCTAGTGACGTAAGGAAGCTACAGTCACATGAATTGAAATCACCGCATACAACTGAAAGTGAATCACTGAAGGCAGTAACAGCGAACTCAGTGAATTCATCAGCGAAAACAGATAGTGCCGATTTTGTGCAATCTGGGGTCACGTAGATATTGGTAACATTAAAATATTTGTATTTATTCAGATGTTTTGGACAACATCTTAGAGTTAGAAAGTCGATAAAGTCATTTGAAAACTTAAAACACACAAACGAAGATCGACACCAGTTTATGTTTACAAACCTAGCTACACCGCCACCACACCTCTTTTTGTTGTTTGATCGATCACGACGATATATTATGAAATCACGCAGTGATACTAGGTAGTCGTCCTGTAAATCTTTTACCCAAGATTCTTGAATTGTGATGACACCACAATTACGATACATATTTTGACTTAGTAGGAACTGCAGACAGTCCAGTTTGTTGATTAGTGATCGGCAGTTAGAATCTAGCAGCTCGGGAATCGACATACGATTATTATTCATTCTCTTTAACGCATATTGCCAACCACCACGATGTCTTTTATAGTACTTTTTTGTTACCTGTGCAGCGAATGGTCGTAGGCTTTTCATAAAAGCGCCTGAATAGGTTATGCGATTAATGGACGTAATTACAAGTTAAAACAAACGAGAAAAAACAGATAACTTGTTGAAATAACCAGATGGCAGAAACAAGTAGCGCAGATATTCAAGCAGGCCGCCCAGATGAAGCTTTTGCTGAACATTTTTTGTGTCCAGCATCGATGAACCGTCATTCGGTTGAAATACATTCTTAGATAGATTAATTGAAGTATGAATTATGTCATTTTAGTAACTTAGTTTAGGGTCACTTAAATGTCAAAACATCTGGCAGTCGGGTGGCTGAATGCGGAATAGTTTTCCGATTCTCAGAAAGGTTAAAGACATTGAATATGCGTCAATCATTTGTACTCCTTGGACAGAAGCATGAAGCAGTTCTAGCCTTCTAGATCTTAAATCTATTCTTATTAACACATTTCCGAAATAAAATTTGTTGTGCTGTACTATGATCGGACTGGCCATAGACGGAAGGGCAATGCATGTTAGGCTTTACCGTTTGATGTGACTTTAACATATACTGGGAGATCACGTCATTCTCGACCAATTAGCGTAGGCCCTCGTTCATCGACACAGATCACGTAAGTTAGCGATTTACATCAGTAAGAGAAGTTTAATGCGTTCCAAAATATGCTCGAAATGCCACCGGTACTATTAGAATCTAATATTTGAATTCTTTACTGGAATTCTGGCGTTAGGTTCACACTAAACTTAGTTCTCCGGAGAATAGTCAAGGAGACTAATTTTATCAAAGTCAGTGTGAAGTTCTGTTTATACATTTAGTGCATCTTGATCTCTTTGTTAGATTTCCAATGGCGGATCTCTGTACAAAATAACTGATTTGATCAACACTCAATAACGATGCTGAACTTTTCAGTCTTAATAGACGCTACTAGCTGGACGCATTCTCTCAAGCATTGTGGTGTTATCGTGACGCTGTCTAGCGCAAGGCAATTATCCTTATCCAAATGGTCTCCTAAAAGACAAACGTTTTTCTATCTTTTCTCACAATCACCGATATCGTTTCTCCCTATCATTATAGCTTTTTATTTTGTCTTCAAGCCCCTATCTGTAAGGGTAGGTATTAGCATCGTTGGATTGCGTCTTATCCAGAGTACTTTGAGATTATAAGTACTGTAATAAATATTTTCTTTCACTGTGTGCGGACTCATAAGAAATTATTCATAATCAGATTGAGTTATGTACCGTTAATCTGGTTGAAATAGTGTTGAATTTTAGTGATGGAAGCTGTTATTAGTGTAAAGCTTCAAATCGTTCGAGGCTAGGTTTTTAGAATTATGGTCTAGTTCGCTATTAGTAAATCTATCCTTGTTACTATTATGATAGGACTAATCCTAAAATTATAGATTTTTCATGATGTGACTACCTAATCTATAAGATCTTACGTGGAAGTCACATAATTGTTTACACTAACTCGTCTTACGGTGATAACCAGCAATATGACATCTAATACTTATGAAGAACACTTTTTGGGCCGGGTGGAGAGTAATTTACTTGTTACACAAACAACAGGTTACACGGGGTGACCACGTCTGCATTACTAAACCATGCATTCTCGAATGATTCCTCATTCTTTAACCATCACCGACCTTCTACAAGTGTTACATTTTGAATGTTAATCTCCTCAGTAATTATATATTCAGATTCGAGAACCCTGTGGTTCGGATCCGATAACACCACAAATTTGTGGAATTATGGTCTACCACGATACTTTTGCTGCTCTAATAATAGACCTAGTTTTAAAATTGTACATTTGTTATGATGTAACCGCCTAATCTTTACAATCTTACGTGGAAGTCACATCATTGTCTACACTGGCTCATTGTATCATAACAACCACCAGTACATGATGGAGAACATGCTTAGACTAGAGATAGAACAACACACTTAATATGAATAAAAGATATGAGATAACATTCAACAGGGACCACGCCTGCAATTCAATTCATTGTTCCCACCATATCCATCGTTGGGTTTTT